TGATCCTAAGGGCCTTCCTTCAGCTCCTAGGAGAGTCTGTTCCTCCCACCACAGAGCCTCGGCAGGGAGTGCTCCTTTCTCACTGCCCTCCTTCACTCAATTCCTCTTGATACTGTGGCTTACGGGCTTCCCCAGTGGCTCAGCAGTAAAGAATCCACCTGCAATGCAAGAGATGCAGGAGACTCCTGACAGCCTACACTCCACAAGGTCGCAAAGAGTCAGACATGACTCAACCCAACCCAGGGAGCGAGCCTGGGTCTACTGCATTGCAGGCAGATCTTCACTGTCAAAATCACCAGGGAAGCCCCTGTTAAATTTAACCATCTGTTAAATATTCTTATAACACTGTGTCCTTTCTCTACATGGCCTCTTTTCAGTTTATGAATACATTTGTGTGGGATTCCTAGAGAAATATCTGTCTCATCCACTAGACTATATGCTCTACCAAGACCAGGCCCTAGTCTGTTCTGTTTATCATTGTATCCCCAGCTCTCAGCACAGAGTCTGACAGGTTGGTAGGTAATAAAAAAAATATTTGCTGAAATAATCAAAATCCCAATTTGCTAAAGACAACTCTTCAGTTCCTAGTTTCAATAACAAGGTAGTCATGCTTTTAACTGAAATGGAGAACCAAAGAAAACATGTTGAATTATCTGTAGAACATTCAGGACAAGATGTCTGAACAGTATATAGCACTGAAGACAAGACATAATTGCTACTGTTTAGAAATGCTGGACTGGAGGAAACACAAGCTGGAATCAAGATTGCTGGGAGAAATATCAATAACCTCAGATATGCAGATGACACCACCCTTATGGCAGAAAGTGAAGAAATAAACAGCCTCTTGATGAAAGTGAAAGAGAGTGAAAAAATTTGGCTTAAAGCTCAACATTCAGAAAACTAGGATCATGGCATCTGGACCCACCACGTCATGGCTAGTAGATGGAGAAACACTGGAAATAGTGGCTGACTTTATTTTGGGGGCTCCAAAATCACTGCAGATGGTGACTACAGCCATGAAATTAAGAGGCTAAAAAAAAAAAAAAGAAAGAAATTAAAAGATGCTTGCTCCTTGGAGGGAAAGTTATGACCAACCTAAATAGCATATTAAAAAGCAGAGATATTACTTTGTCAACAAAGGTCCATCTAGTCAAGTTTTTCCAGTAGTCATGTATGGATGTGAGAGTTGGACTATAAAGAAAGCTGAGCACCAAAGAAATGATGCTTTTGCACTGTGGTGTTGGAGAAGACTCTTGAGAGTCCCTTGGATGCAAGGAGATCCAACCAGTCCATCCTAAAGGAGATCAGTCCTGGGTGTTCATTGGAAGGACTGATGTTGAAGCTGAAACTCCAATCCTTTGGCCACCTGATGTGAAGAGTTGACTCATTTGAAGAGACCCTGCTGCTGGGAAAGACTGAGTGCAGGAAGAGAAGGGGACAACAGAGGATGAGATGGTTGGATGGCATCACTGACTCGATGGACACGGGTTTTTGGGTAGACTCCGGCAGTTGGTGGACAGGGAGGCCTGGCATGCTGCGGTTCATGGCGTTGCAAAGAGTTGGACACGACTGAGCTGAACTGAACAACAGCCAAGATTAGAAACTACCCAAATGTCCACTGACAAGTGAATGGATAAAAAAGATGTGGTATACATACACTATGGAATACTACTCAGCCATAAAAAAGAACGAAATATTGTTATCTTCAGCAACATGGCTAGACCAAGATTGTTATACTGAGTGAAGTTAAGTCAGAAAGACTAAGACAAATACCATGTGAGATCATTTACATGTGGAATCTAAAATATGACACAAATGTACTTATTCACAAAACAGAAAGATTCACAGACACAGAAAACAAGTTTATAGTTATCAAAGGGGAAAAGGAGTGGGTGGAAGGGATAAATCAGGAGTTTGGGTTAGCAGATACAAACTACTATATATGAAATAGATAAACCATAAGGTCCTATAGCACAGCAAACTATATTCAATATCCTGTAATGAACCATAATGAAAAATAACATGAAAAAGAATATATAGAGTAAAAGAATATATAAATCTGAATCACTTTGCTGTATACCAGAAACTAACACAACATTGTAAAGCAACTATACTTCATCAATTAAAAAGACACAACTGCTATAGCTGAGATCTTTACAGAGACCAGTGATTCTCTTGAAAAGGAAGACAGGAAACAGAAGAGGAATTATGTATCAGTATCTCTTGAGAAGATGGATTTTTCACAGTTGCTCTCATCTTTCTCCAAATGAGTGTCTCATATACAATGAGAGTTGTTTCTGATAGGAAAGTTGCACCAAAGTGCAGAGGCAAATTTTTAAAGTTGAGAACCATGATGATGAAAGAAAAGAGTCGCAAGCTCACTCATAATCTTTTGAGGAACAATCCCAATGAATTCAAATGTGAAGGCAAAGCAGATGAGAGAAGGATCACCTAAGCTTTTGTGATAGGATGTCTTTAAGAGACAGTCTGAAGGAGGTTTCCTTTAAGAAAAAAAAATCGAGGGAATGAAATAAACATTTGTAGAGAAAAACAAAAATATCTGTAGACAAATAGTCAGGGGAGAGGGAAAGGGTATCTTTAGGCTCACAGAAAAGGCTTAATCAAATATAGCAAGATCCCTAAAATGATGTACAGGGAAAAGAGTAACAAACACCATATATACTGTACCCTATGTGCCAGCCACTGACCTAAATGCTCTTAAATAGATTATTAATTTATCTTAAATCCTCCCAAAGTCCTATGAGGTACAAACTATTATTTTTCCCAATTTACAGATGCAGAAATAGATAAGAGAAACTTGCCTCAAGGTCCAACAGCTGGTAAAGGGAGACCTGGGATTAAACCCAACTGTCTCTAAAGCCAGATGACAAAACCAAGAATATTCATTAGAGAGAAGAATATAAAAAAATTCTTTTTAAATGGGTGATCTCTTGCAAAATGGCAAGAAACGCTAGAACTAATTGGGGTAGGGGGATTCTTCCCCGGAAGGCCTCTGTCCCCCCTCCAATCTTTTGATTGAGATGAGAGGAGGAGCCCTGAGTGAGATGGAGGAGGAGCCTTCAACACAGACAAGGTTTGGAGCTGGAGCTGTAAAGAATGGGAAAGAGCAGGGAGGAATCAGAATCAATGGCAAGTTGATGTGTGAAGCGCAAATCTTGAGACTCTACGAATTATACATTCTCACCTGACTTAGGGTCTACTCTGTGTTAGGAAAAGATTCTCATATCTGTATAGATTAAGGTAAACAACTTCTCTGGGTATAAGAGTGGCCGAAACAAACAAACTACATCAATGATCAACAGACACAGGAAAGACCCATTCCTGCAGAGAATCGCATCCGAACGAGTACATTCCAAGGAGAAATAGGTTTTGCGGGGGGAGGGGAAGGAAGAATGGTCGAAAGGACAATTCCAAGGAGAGATAGGTTTTGGAGGGGAGGGGCAGGAAGAGTGGTCGAAAGGACAATTCCTACCTGCGCTAGTCCTCGCCCCCGCCCCCTCCCGAATTCTCTCGAAGGACCACAGAGGGATCTGGAGTGAAAGCCCAGAAGCTGCATCCGCGGAACGCGGCTTCCTGGGAGCCCCGGACATCAGACGCACGCCAACCCCCACCGATTCCGCTGCTCCCTTCAACGCCCTGGATCCCCGGACGCAGTCAGCCTCCGCTACGGGGACTACCGCGCCCTTCAAACTCTTCCCAGAAGCTCCGCGCAGACCGGACCCCCACAAGAACTTACCCGCCCCGCCTGGCCCAAAGCAGCCTGGGATCCTCTCTGGACACCCTGGTCTCCCTGCATCTCCACCAATGCCAGCTCGCTATTAGCACCCGGAGGCGGGACTGAGCGTCCATGGCCAATCGGATCGGACGCAATGCACGTCCTCGGCGCACATTAATAGTTCCCGCCTTTGGGAGGGATTAAAAAAAACACGGTTGGCGCCAAACTCGCGTGTTTGGGGCAAAGGGGCGGGGCCTGCCGTGGCGGGGAAGAAGGGGCGGGGCTTCTCTACGGAAGGGGCAGAACCTTGGCTGAGGTGGGTGGGGTCTGGGAGCTCTTTAATGAAAGGGAAAAGCAATAGTTGAGAAGGCTCTGTCATTTACTTAGTTCTTTGTTCTGTTAATTCGACTAATTTATTTGGTTCTTTGTTCAATTAATTCGACTGGTTGCCAGCCGCGTGCTGGACAGGTGCTGGTAAGGCCTGTTGTGCAGTGCCCGCAGATACTTGACTGAAGGCTAAGCAGTTTACCCCGGGGAGTTGGTGTAGAGGGGATACCAGTCAAGTGGGGTGGGAGAGAGAGGAGTGCTTTTTAGACTCAGGCTGCCAGAATTATCTCTTAGAACTTGCGGGCATCAGAGGCACCAGTAGGGTCTAACCCCCAGAGGCTGGCCCTGTGCCATTGACCCGTGGGGAAATAAAGCCAGCTTTCGCTGCTACCTCATCTAGAGCTGTGATCTTGATCCCTAGCCTTTTCCTCCAGTTTGTCCATTTTAACAACTTGCGACTTTCATTAGCAATTTATTGTATATTTTAAAGTTTTTTAAAAAGTCCTCATTTGGGTGAATATGTTTTGGAAGAATACTGGTTTCCTAGAGTCTCCCCCTGGAGAAGGCGATGGCACCCCACTCCAGTACTCTTGCCTGAAAAATCCCATGGATGGAGGAGCCTGGTAGGCTGCAGTCCATGCGGTCACGACTGAGCGACTTCACTTTCACTGTTCACTTTCTTGCATTGGAGAAGGAAATGGCAACCCACTCCAGTACTCTTGGCTGGAGAATCCCTGGGATGGCGGAGCCTGGTGGCCTGCCGTCTATGGGGTCGCACAGAGTCGGACACGACTGAAATGACTTAGCAGCAGCAGACTCTCCCCCAACCACCGTCGCTTCTGAAGAGAAGTTAGCCAGGTAGCTTTCCAGGTAGTGGAAACGGGAAGGGTAGAAGGCGTGCAATCACAAGGCATACATCGTTGCTTTAACATAAAGGATGAGGTGAGGCTGGAGAGAGAAGCTTGGATCAGACCTTGAAGCCCCTTAAGAACCTTGTCGCAGAGCTTGGAATTTACTTTTAAAGATGAGGCATGGGCGGGCCACCAAAGGTTTTTAAACTTGGGGTGCTGGTGATCTGATTTACATTCAGTAAGCTCTGTTGGCCTTGAGAAGGAGGATTTTGAGATGCTGTTGCAGTGATCCAGAGAAGATGAGGGAGATGGCAGGTAGCCTAGGAAATTGATTTTAGACTATTTAGGAGATGAAAGTGATAAAACATAGCAACTGATTGGATACTGGTTTTCAGCATGAGTACTTGATGGCAGTCATCAAAGAACGATTATTGAGAACACAGCATATGTGCCTCAAAAATAAAGGTTTCCAGCAAGATTATCTTCCAGAAAAGAATAATCGTATCATTTAAGCCTTACAAAGTCTCTCATTGTTACTGGTGCTCTTGTAAATACTTTACATTGAGCAGAAAGTAGTATTTGGTTTAAGAATATTTCCTTGGGGAATTCCCTGGCGGTCCAGTGGTTAGAACTCTGTGCTTTCACTGCTATGGCTTGAGTTTATTCCCTGGTCAGGGAGGGAACTAAGATCTTGCAACTAAGATTCTGCAAGCCCTGGCAAGGAAGGTGGGGTTGGGAGGTGGGAACTACCTGTAAAAATATTTGCTTCAAAAGACCTCATTGCCAATTTGGTAAACTTACAGAAGCCAACTGAAGAGATCAACATTTTTCTTAGGGAAACAGAGTAGTGTAAAACAGTTACATCCTTTATGGAGTCTGAACAAACGATTGCAAATCTTGCTAAAGTAAAAGCAATTTCTGAAGAAGATGTTTATGTAACTAGAAGATACAGTGTTAAGGGGGATAACAGAACAATGAAAGAATTAGAAAAAGAATATACATATATTTTGCTTGTTTTCATATAACAACACTTGAAGGATAAATTAGAACCTAATAAACAAATGTACCATACGGAACCGGAAGCCACCATTTAAGTATTTTTACTTAAATAAAAAATTATTTCCACATAAAAATATTAAATGGTGGCTTCAGGCACCGTATGGTACCTTTTTTTTATTAGGTTCTAATTAATCCTTGAAGTGTTGCTATGAAAAAACAAGCAAAATATATGAATGGAAATATGTATGGCTTTTCTTCCTTTTTTAAAATTACAGTTTCATTGAGATATAATTCACATACCATATATTTTACCTATTTAAAGTGTTAAGTTTGCCTTTTTAAAAACTTTTAAACTATAGAAGAAAAAAATAAAATAAACTATATAAGAACTTCATATATTAAAAGACTGAGTTAAATCAGGAAGAAAAAACATTAAAATGGAAAATAAATCTAAGTAATGAAACTGTGTAAATAAGAGAAATATAACCACATAGACAAAACAGTTATTTCAAGTGACATATGAATATGGTGCTCTGACTGTGTATCATGAGTGGGATATATTTCTAAGGACAAAAAGAACTGCAAAGAAATCTTATAACTCATGCAGTAGTTTTATTGTTAGTATTAATGTTGTAGTTTTGGAACTATTTTTGTATCTTGTGGAATAAAGAAATATGTAATATTTTAATATTTTTAGGAATTAAGATATTTATTGAAAGAGAAAAGAGATCCAAGGATAAAATAAAAAACATTAGGGGTGAAAACTTATACTATTTTACATGAATTGGAAATGTCAGCATGAGCTCATGATTTTTTAAAATACATATTGCTTATTTCTGTTCCTCAAAGGGTTTGGAAGCAATGATACCTCGACTGCAATATGTCAGGAACACATCTAAGACTCAGACTACTTGTAGTCTGAACAGATCAGCACCTACGGGCAGAGAGGAGGATGAAGAAGGAGAGAAGGAGGGGGAATCTATCCAAAGGAACAAGTGCAAGATACTCAGTATCTTGAATGTGGGTAAGAGGCTGGGGTTAACATTTCCAGTGTTAGCATTATAAAAATTCTGTTACTCAAGTCAAATGAAAGTGCTCTGGAAAATTCTGTTAGAAATCTCAAAAAGTGCATCAGCTGTGGTAAATAAAGATGACTGGAAATTATTTGCCACTTCTTCATTGAGAAATGAAGTCTAATTTCCAGTCCCTTGAATCTGGGCTAGCTTTAGCGACTTGCTTGACCATAGGATGCAAGGATAGGGATGTTTTAGGACTTCTAAGACCTTGCAGTTTCCATCCAGGCTTCATGGAGATCTCTCTCTTCTCAACCTCAAATTGTCATGTAAGCATTCCAGCTTAAAGTTCCAGCTGAGCTCAGCCTTCCAGCCATCCCTGCCAGGATACAAGATGTTTGAGTGATCCTATCTTGGACCCACCAGATTAGGCCATTGACTAGCTCAATACAATTGAATGCCTTCAATCAATGTCCCATGGAAGACAAGAATCGCCAGCAGGGCCCTGCTCAAATTCCTGGACCTCCCTATCACAAAGTGTTGGTGGCGCTGCTGCTGCTGCTGCTGAGTCGCTTCAGTCGTGTCCGACTCTGTGCGACCCCAGAGACGGCAGCCCACCAGGCTCCCCTGTCCCTGGGATTCTCCAGGCAAGAACACTGCAGTGGGCTGCCATTTCCTTCTCCAATGCATGAAAGTGAAAAGTGACAGTGAAGTCGCTCAGTCGTGTCCAACTCTTCGCGACGCCATGGACTACAGCCTACCAGGCTCCTCCGTCCATGGGATTTTCCAGGCACCTTCTCCGACTGGTGGTGCTAGTTATTGGTAAAAAACCTGCTTTCCCATGCAGGATACATGGGTTCAATCTCTGGCTTGGGAAGATCTGCTAAAGGAGGGCATGGCAACCCACTCCAGTATTCTTGCTTGGAGAATCCCATGGACAGAGGAGTCTGGTGGGCTACAGTCCATAGGGCTACAAAGAGTCAGACACGACTGAAGTGACTTAGCACATACGTACATAAAATACTTGGTGTTTTAAGTCAGTATAATTTAAGGTCATAATTTGTTACAAAGAACTAGATTACTGGGACAGTTATGGCAACATCAGAACACAACTGCAGTTTTATTAAAATTGTTACATGAAATATGAGAATGGAAGGCCAGAGAAAGACTTTAAAGGTTGATGAATTTAAATTAGTAATTGCTCCCATTTACAACATATAGTTAAATTCCTTTCAGTATTTTAAACCCCATTTGTAAATGTAATGCATTTGATGTTTTTTAAACACATCATACTTGTAGGACAAACACAGAAACTGACAAGTAAAACATTCCTAAGAGTTATGGAGTTTAAGCTCATACTACTCTGCCACATGACAGGCCAATAATCAAGAGATCAGTTGTTGGAGCAAGGCATAACAACTTGATTTGGAAAGCCAGCAAACAGAGAAGATGGTGAACTCATGCCCCAAAGAACCATCTTGCCTGAGTTAGAATTCAGGCTCCTATTATACTAAAAGGGGAGGGAGTAAAGTCAAACACTTCCTGGTTCCCATCAGCCTCTGGAGGGGATGTGTTCATTTCTTCCTTTCTGTAGTCATTCAAAAGTAGGCCTGGTCAGGATGATTCCTATGAGCTAAACAACAGTATCGTAGCTTAATGCTCGTTACCTGGAAGCAGGGTTCCCAGAGATGGACCATTATGTATAATTTAAACTTACAGGCAACATCTCTTTTATGATTAACTTGGAATAGAATACAAAAGATTCTTCTGTATTACATAAGTACCTAAACATGTAGTGAAACCTCAAGTTCTTTCAAACATTGTAATACTTTTAACATTTGTCAATGTTTCTGTCTTTTCAACTTAAAATCAAAGGTCTATGAATCTGGTAAACTTATCTGCATTTCAAAGTAATATATCCACCCAGAAGGGGAAATCCAGGGAAACTTGGAATACAGTGCATTCACGTCCAGTCACTCAGTCATGTCCAACTCTTTGTGACCTAATGGAGTGTACCCTGCCAAGCACCTCTGTCCATGGGATTCTCCACAAGAATACTGGAGTGGGTTGCCATTTCCTCCTCCACGGGACCTTCCAAACCCAGGGATCAGAACCCTACCTCCTGCGTTGGCAGGCGATTCTTTACCATTGAGCCACCTGAGAAGACCTTGGAACACATTACTTCAACATATATCCTCAATTTTAAATAAAAAAGCAAATAAACAAATTACGGCTTTTGTATCTATCAGAGTATCCACCACACAGGGGAAGATAATGAAATAGTTCCAACACCCTAGGAAGTGCCCTTAGGCCCTTCTCAGTCCAATACCCCCAAAAGCAACCACTGGTCTGACTTTGTCATTATTTTGGCTTGTTCATAAATGAATTTGACATAAATGCACTTTTAATTTTATGTACTCTTCTACTCCACTCTTCACAGTGCCTTCAGAATATTCAGTGTCCTATATACCATACTTTATTTCATTCCCATGTCAATGAAAATAATCAATAATCTATAAAAGAATAGAAAGAAGTTTTATTTCAGCCAAACTAAGGACTAGCCCAGAAGCCAGCTTCCCAGATTACTCTGTGAAGCTGCTCCAGAGAAGCATGGGTTCCAGCACAATTTTATATCTTGTCAAAACAAAGAACATTTAATAAGACATGGTTACAGTTCTTCAAGGTTTGAAACACACACACACACACACACACACACACACACACACACACACACACCAGCAACTATATGAGAGTCCACATGGCCTTGGCACTTGGAAAAGGAAGTCTTATCATCAAAGTAGGACCAGCATTAGCCTCCCAGAAAGAAAGGCATTTCATCTTTATTTTTACCATGGACATTCTTTATTCCTTGTCAGTGTGCTCTTCTCTTTAATAATTAAAGCACATACACAATTTATGTTTGATAGGCCACAAAGAGGCTATTTTCCTTAACATAAAATTCACCTTAACTCATATATAACCCCAAATGACTTTTCTGTATCTCAACATGTTAAAGTTTATCACCCATCTTAACACTTATATCCAATATTTATAATAAAACTGCTGCAAGGGCTATCTAATGCTTGTTACACTTGTGTGTGAATTTCCACAGGGCAATCGTCTAAAAGGGGAATTGATGGGTTAGAGGGAGTAAATCTGCTTTTCATTCCTAGCTGATCTTTTCGTCTGCTGAGGCAGAAGGAGGCATGGCGGGCTGAGGATCGTAGGCACACGGCCCGAGGGGCCCCCTAGCTTCTCCTGAATTGCTGTCACGCCACTCTTTGTCGCCGTATCTCCCATCGCTGTAACCGTTAGCCTCCACCAGCAAAAGCTGTTTCTGGAGGAGTCTAGGCCGGAAGTGTATAGCTACTGACGCCCCGCGTTTCCGGTGTCGAGGAGGCGGGGCCGCGATCGCCGGTCGGCGCGGTCGCGGGTTGATGATGCAGAGCGCCGCGTGCTCCCCCCACGTGTGCTGCCGCCGCTCTCTAGATACCAGCGGAGCTACGGCAGCCGCTTTCACTGGAGACGTAGTTGGTGGCAGTTCCGGCGCGGGTACCTCAGCGGCTCGGGGGTTCTTAGGGCGAAGCAAGGAGCACTGGTGGCCGCCCGGGGCGGAGGACCCGTGATCATGGAGCACCTCTTGCTGGAGGTGGCGGCCGCGCCGCTGCGGTTAATCGCTGCCAAGAACGAGAAGAGCCGCAGCGAGCTGGGCAGGTTCTTGGTCAAGCAGGTAAGAGAAGGAGCGGGAGGGAGTTGGGTCGCCCCCACCACCGCCTGGCGCGTGCCCCATGGCCCTGCGCGAAGGCGCAGGGGACCGGAGAGCGGCGTCTTGTCACACTGGCCCGCTCCCCAAGGCTGGTCAGTGGCGGTGGCATCCGCGCCCATTTGAGGAGCCTGGAAGGAGCCTTTTGTTTTTCTGTGGGAGAGTCTTCCCTTCTCTCCACCGATTTATTTCCTTGGAGCACCCTGGCTGTGTGCGCCAAACGTGACCTTCAGAGAAAAACGTGGTTTGGGGGGTTTTTTTGTAATTGAGGTCGCGTGTTTGCCCTTTTGACATTTGTATTACTTAAGCCTGCCGAGTCCAGCCACCTCTGTTGGCTTGGCTGGCTGGATGTCTCCTTTCTGCCTTATTCTGACTTTCCTGCCCACTGACAAGTATTGATTGTATTCCTGCTGGGAGTAAGACACAGTTGTGGCACTTTGCGGATACAGATAAATTCGTTATGGTCTCTGACCCCCAGGTATTTCGTGTCTATTTTTGGAGACGCTCATAAACACAGACTACAACTGATGGGCCGAGCGAGACGGCGAGGGCATAATTCGTAAGCCATAGGGATTATGAATTAGTTTTCTGGAAAATGGGTGCTCTGGCCTGTTAAGAGCCTTCTCTCGTTGACCACCCGCTATCTGAGTTGAGGATCCTTATCACGCGTTTTTTCACCTGGCGTTTTTGTTTCCCCACCACACCTGTGAGCTTGAGAGTAGGGGGGAATTTTTTTTTTTCCCCTAACTTCGGTATCTGGAACATATATATCCTATTGCTAAGGAAGAAACAGCAGTTTTTCGGGTCTGGAGAGGCCGGGAGCTAACCCAAGAGGCATGTCTGATGACAAATTGAAGGTGTATAGCAAAGGGGAGGGAGTAGTGGAAGATATGCCTGGGGTTATCTGGCCTGTGATTTCCCCCAAGGAAGGGATCATTAACATTAACAGAGAGGTCTGGAAAGAAAACTTGAGTTTTGATGGGCTGGACTGATGAAAAAATCAATTTATATGAGCTGAGCTTGTGGTGACAGGCTCCTGAACTATGTATTATGGCTAGAAGTATTTTTCTGTAAGTGGGCTTGCATTTGGAGCAGAGGTTCTGAAGCTGGGGATCATGGACCACTGACAGTAGGAGGTTTATTTATGGTTCTTCACAGTAATTGGATAGAAAATTAGTGCTTATGTATTGGGAGTAAAATGAGGAAATGATTCCTAGCCTTTTAAAAAAAAGAGAATCAGATTTTGAAGTGTGGGAACCACTCAGGTAGATTCGGGGACTGTATATAGTAATGTTGAGGGACTTGAAAGCTACTAGAAAGTTCAGTTGAATTAAGATTCCGGCCACCTGTGCTTTCCATTTGTCTCTCCTCTGTCTCAGATTCTGTCCAGTCTGGGAGATGTCTTTCAGGTTTGCTCCTTTCTATTTTCAGTAATGATTTCAAGCCTTTCACTCAGAGAAGAGTTGATTGTGTTGTCATGCTATGTTTCTCCTATTTGGAGAAACAGTGATTTTTACTGGAGAGCAAAGACTTTTTTTCCCACCACTGAACCTCGTGATTTTAGTTCCCCTGCCAGAGATTGAACCTGGGCCCTGGACAGTGAAAGCATGGAGTCCTAACTACTAGACCACCAGGGAACTCCCAGCAAAGATTTTGAAACCTTACTTCTCATGGAGTTTGGGATCTGAAGTAAAATTTTTGGATGTGCTTCCTTTGTTCTTCATCTCAGCTGGTGACACCCCCATCTCTGTCTAGTCACTTGTTACAGAAAACTGAGTGTCCTCAACTCTCCTCGCTCCTTTTCCGTCACGTATAGCCAAATCCTCCTGATTTTCCTTCCTTGGTATTGAATCTGTGTCTTTCTCTTCATCCTTACTACTACTAACATCCTACAGTTCTGACTCTTAATTCCAGCACGGGGGTTTTCTTTCTAGCACTATCAAGCAATTCTCAGACACCAGCTTGTGTCCTGCAGTTTAACTCAATTCTGATGCTGTTTTCCTGTGGAAAGCATCAGTTCCTTCAGAGTAAAGGCTTAGCCCTAAAAGACTTCTCCCACCCTCACCTGCTCTTCTGACCAGCTGGCCTATAAATTGGGGATTCCAAGAAATTCTTTCTTGGGTTTGATTAATTTGCTAGAGCAGCTCACAAAACTTGGAGAAATATTTCGCTTTTTAGGACAGCCATCCCTGAAGCTCTCCGAGCCACATTCTTTGGTGTTTTTATGAAAGCTTCCTTCACGGGCACAGTTGACTCAATCTCTGGCCATTGGTGATTCAGCTCTTAATCTCTAGCCCCTCTGTCCTCCTCAGAGGTCAAGGCATGGGGATGAAAGTTCTAATCCTCTAAACACGTGATTGGCTCCCAGCTTAGCCGCTTTCCAAAATTCACTGTGTTACTGTAGCATATTTCTCTCACCACAGGAAATTCCCAGAGTTTTAGGTACTTGGACAGATGTGGAGTTTTGAAGACTTAAGTATGTTTTTTTTTTTCTTTTACTGTAAATCACAGAATCACATCTTATGTCCTTGATCACTGTCTGTTGAGGAAGAGCAGAGTGCTTGAGAGCATGTATGGGTAGTGGGACTGAAGGATGGGTGCAGATCAGATTCTTCTTTCGGTTTTGTGTTTTGGCAATGCCTGTGGCATGCGGGATCTTAGTTCCCCTACCAGGGATTGAACCCACTCACTCCCTTGGCAGTGAAAGCACAGACTCTTGACCACTGGACCATCAGGGAAGTCCTTCTCTTCTCTTTCCTTACTGTTGTTGTTTACTCACTAAGTTGTGTCCAACCCTTTTGTGACCCCCATGGATGGTCATAGCCCACCAGACTCCTCTGTCCATGGGATTTCCCAAGCAAGAATACTGGAGTGCGTTACCATTGTTTTTGGGGCCTTCTGCAAGTTGCTCAGCTCTCCTAAGCCTCAGTTTCTTGATATGCATTACGTGTGATAGTTGCTCAATAGTTACAGAGTAGTTAAAAGCAGAGATTCTGGAGCCTGGGATGCGATTCCTGGTTCTACTCTCAGCTTTATGACCTTATCCCTTTTTTTTAAATTTTTCAGTTTCCTTATCTGTAAAATGGGGATAATTTTACCTACTTCATGGATTGCTATGAGAGTTAGGTGCCTAGGGTACAGTAAGTGTTGTCTTTAAAAGTGGTTGCTGTTATTATTGCTATAAATAAGATTGTGGAATCTAGATGATGCATTTGAGGAGCTTACCACAGTGCCTGACCCACAGGAAGTAATCAATACATGTGAGCTACAGTTAGAACTTTTTAGAGACAGCTTTGAGATGTAATTTGTATGCCACATACTTCATCCATGTACGTGTGCAGTTCAGTGGCTTTTGCTCTGTTCACAGGTGTGTGCAGCTGTCACCACAGTCCGTTTTTGAACATTTCTGTTACTTCAAAAAGAAGCCCCTGTTCCTTTTAGCTATTACCTCCCACCCTATTCTGGCCACTTAATATAAGTCATCATTAATAAGACAAATCTGAATCTATCACTATTCTGTCTAAAAGCTATTCTGTCTAAAAGCTCTCTGTTATCTCCAGAATCAAAATCTAAACTTTCTAAGATAGCATATGATTTTTTTTTAATTAAAAAAAAATCCTTTTTTTTCTGTTAATCTTATTTCCACTTTCTTTTTTTGAAGTGTTTTTTTCTCCCCCGTGCCTGGTGACTCTCAGCTCAGGGAATTTTACTGTCTGGGGCAAGTCTAGAGATGTTTTAAAAATTTTCACAACCTGTGATGGTGATATTATTGGCATGTAGAGCGTAGAGGCCAGGGATGCTGCTGAACATCTTTTTAATACACAGGGTAGCCTTCATAGCAAGGAATGTATCCAGCCCTAAATGTCAGTATTAAAAATTAAGAAAGAAACCTAAATGTGCATGGATCTGATAATAAAATACATGAATCAGAAAGTGATAGAAAAGGAAAAATAGACAACCACAGTTATAATTGGAGAATTTTAATACTCTAACCTTAGTACTTGACAGTACAAATACAGAAAATCACTAAGGATACAGAAGGCCTGAACACTATCAACAAACCTGACCTAATTGGCATTATAGGATACTGTGCCCAGTAATTCCAGAATATATGCTCTGCACTTTTGAAACATTTACCAAGATAGATCATAAGATGGGCAATTAAACAAATACCAAGAAAGTTAAAAGAATTGAAATCATAGAAGGCATATTCAGTTATCTCAATGACATGAAATTAGCGGGGGAAACCCTCAAAATAATGCTGGGAAAAATCCCTCAGTTCATTTCAGTCCAGTTGCTCAGTCACGTCCGACTCTTTGCCTGACCCCATGGACTGCAGCATGGAAGGCTTCCCTGTCCATCACGAACTCCCAGAGTTTGCTCAAACTCATGTCCATCGAGTCGGTNCAAATGATGTACTCTGCATATAAGTTAAATAATATGTTAAATAAGGAAAAATCCCTGAATGTTAGACATTAAGTAAAAAAATTTAAAGAAGCTTATGATCAGAGAAGAAATCTCTGGGAGAATCAAGAATTTTGAACTGTGTTATAATTTAAACAATTTGTGGAGTGTAGCTACAATTAGAAGGAAATTCATAACGTGAAATATATGAATATAAGAAAAATATGTTTGAAATTAGTGATATTTCTTAAGCTTCCACCTTGTGAAGTAGTAAAAAAAAAGAGGAAATTACATTCAAAATAAATAGAGGGAAGAAAATAATAAAGCTAACAGTGGAAATGAATGAAATAGGAAATGGATAAACTGTATAGGAAACCATTGGAACCAGAAGTTGATTCTTTGCAAAGGTTGACCAAGAATAAAAGTGAAAAATCCAAATTATTAGGAATGGAAGAAGGCCACCATTACAGATTTTAAAAAGACTAGAAAGATAAGTGACTGATACGAAAAATGTTATACCAATATATTAGGCAGTTTAGATGATAAGGGCGTTGGAGGAATGCCAGTTAACAAAGCTCATTCAGGAAACAGAAAAACAAAGTATGGATAGAGCAGAACTTCCTCAAGCTTATATAGAGGGTCCACAGAAACCATCATGGTTAATACAGGAACAACCCTATTTAATAACGGGTAAAAGATTTAAACAGATTACATCACAGAAAATAGATGAGTGACACTTTATATTGTATACCACTCCACCTCCAATAGAATGGCTAAAATTAAGACTGATAGTACTGTGTATTTGTGAATTTATATAGCAGCTGAAGCACTGAGACGTTGCTGGTGGGGATGTGAAATGGTACAAATACTTTGGAAAACAACTTCTGGTAAACATTGAGTGTCTGACCCTTTGTGACCCCGTGGACTGTAGCCCACCAGGCTCCTCTGATCACGAAGTTCTCCAGGCAAGCAGAGTGGAGTGGATAGCCTTTCCCTTCTCCAGGAGATCTTCCCAACCCAGGGATTGAACCCAGGTCTCCTGCATTGCAGGCAGATTCTTTACCGTTTGAGCCAGCAGGGAAGCCCAAGAAATTTCTTAAATTTTTTTAAAATTAAAAATCAAAATTTAGACAATTCCCTGGTGTTTCAGTGGTTAGGACTCTGTGTTTTCACTGCTGAGGGCCAAGGTTCAATCCCTGATTGAGGACTAAGAGCCTCCTTGCCATGTGGCATGGCCAAAAAGTAAAAGTCATGGAAATATGTCTGTAAATGTTTTGTACGTGAATGTTCGTGGTGGCTTTATCGAGGATAGGTGGAAACAGTGCAAATGGATAAACACGTTGTGGTACATTCATACAGTAAAAAACTAGTAAGAAATAAAATGGAATAAGTTAGTAATACTACATACAAGAACAGCTTTGGAACTTTGGGAAAAGTTACAGTATTTTTGAATATGGTATTTAGGTTGTGTTCCAGCTGTACTCTTATAGATAACCATTTAGTATCAAACTCTTTAGGCTGTAAATTCATAGCATTGGGCTTGGTAGGTCAGAGGGTATGCCCCTCAGGTAATTTAAACCCACTGTCACATTGGCTGGCAAGGGTTGTGCAGAACTGCTTATGCACTAGCAATATGAGACATTTTTCATACTTTTCAGTTTTCCTTTTTATGTTCCTGGACATTCTGGTCCCAAACACTAGAACTTTGTGGTTTATTTCATCTTGTATATCAAAGTGTGCCTGTCAGCTTTAGACCTGTCTTGTTTATTAATTAAAGTCTGATGTCTTCATGGGGATATATCTTCATTCATTTCCAGGAATTGATTTCTAATATCCTTTCCTCAAGAGAGTTGGCAGTTTTGCATACGAACTGTACTTTTTCCTCATCTAACTACTGTTTTCCCTCCAGACAAAGGAGTTGGGGAAGCACTGGCTTCCCTGCAAACTGTTAATGACTCTGTAACAGATTCTTTTTCAAGGAAGCTGAAGCTGTCTAGCATTTTACCTGGAATCCTGATGTCGGTCCTTTTACCTCAAACCCCAGTGGGCTGAAACTTATTTGTTACAGCCTTTACGTTTGATTGGGGCTTTCCTTGTGTGGCTCAGCTGGTAGAGTCCACCTGCAATGTGGGAGACCTGGGTTCAATCCCTGACTTGAGAAGATCTCCTGGAGAAGGGAAAGGCTACCCACTCCAGTATTCTGGCCTGGAGAATTCCATGGACTGTACAGTCCATGGGATGGCAAAGAGTCAGACACAACTGAGCGACTTTCACTTTCAGTTTACATTTGATTCACTAGTCCTATTGCAAAGAAACCCCACTGTGTTTTGTAAAATAAACTCAGTTACGAAGTCTGGAAATCGAATATAAGCCAGGACTCTGGTCTGTGGCAGACACTCATGAATTTGCTTTGCCTTTCTCAGGTGTGGACACCTCAGGATCGCCAGGGTATCTTGAACACCTTAGCACAGTTACTTCTGGACAAGGACTGCGCTGTGCTGATTGGCCGCCAGCTGCGCCCTCTCCTTTTGGATTTGCTGGAAAGGAATGCTGAAGCCATTAAAGCCGGAGGCCAGGTCAACCATGATTTACATGAACGGCTCTGTGTGTCTATGAGCAAACTCGTTGGTAACCATCCTGACGTCCTCCCGTGAGTAACGGCTTTATTCTTCATGTTTCTCCTTGAGATGGCAGGCCCCACACTCTGCTGGAAGTAAGGAGGAGTCTGAGCTGAGATGAAGAGAAGAGGGGAAATACAGAAAGGGGAGAAAGGAGTGTTTTTAAAAATAGTTACAGAAGAAGCCATTTATCCAGCTCAATTCAGTGACCATTTACTAGGTTTGAAGTCTTGGCCATCAAGATAGGTCTGGAGAATATGACCAGGCCATCTCCCCTACCCTCAAAGATTCTGTCATCTGGCAAGAAAGGCATATAAGATAGATTTAAATGAGTTTTAGCTGAGACTCTTACATCATCCACTTCAGCTGTGTGAGATTCTCGCTGGAGCAGCTGTGGGGGGTGGGTTACAAGATCTCTCATGTCTCTTCCCACTTTCTAGAAATCTCTTCGCATCCAAAGTGTGATAAGAAGTTGTGTTAGAACTGGATTCTAATGTATTTCTCATTTCACCTCCTGTCTGTCCAGCTGGGGCTGGTTCACCCTTCCTTAGGCAATCTGGTGGTCTCTTGTTCCCATGGGGTCATCCCAGTGAGCCAAACTTAGTGTGGACGCCCAGTGGGCAGAGCGTCCCGCAGCCCAGAACTCCTCGTTCAAGCCGTCTTCCTGCCTCAGCTTCGAACTAGCTGGTTCTGTAGACACGTGCCACTGCGCCTGGTTTTCTCAAATTGATAGGTTTGTGTGGAATGGTCAGAAGAGGCAGCCACGTGAGTGTGAGTGAAAGTCGCTCAGTTGTGTCCAACTCTTTGCAACTCCATGGATAGTCCTTGGGATTCTCCAGGCCAGGACACTGGAGTGGATAGCCATTCCCTTCTCCAGGGCATCTTCCTAACCCAGGGATCGAACCCAGGTGTCGACGTTGCCGGCAGGTTTTTTGCCAGCGGAGCCACCGGGGAAGGCCGAATCAGCCGTATCCGTGCATCTGTCCCTTCTCTTCCAGACGCATCCCCGTGTAGGTCATTAGAGAGTATCAGACTTCCTGTACTGTGCAGTAGGTTTGTGTTAGTTGTCTGTTTTACATACAGTACTGTGTATACGTCAGTAGCAGTCTCCCAGTTTACCCCCCTCGACCTCCTCGCCCCCTTGGTAATCACAAGTTTGTTCTCCATATCTGTGACTCAAATTCTGTTTCGTAAATAGGTTCGTTAGTACCAATTTTTTTTTTAGATTCTACATACAAGTGATACCACGTGACATTGTTTTTCTCGTATCTGACTTCACTCAGTGGAGCATTTCTTATTAGTCTTCATCAACATAATAAGTACCCTTTGGCTTTCCTGCAAGTATGATCTCTAGTCTGATCCTTTGATGAGGGAATAAGAAATGAAGACTTGAGGGAACCGTGATTTGTGTGAGTTTTTCTAAAAGAGGAGGGAAAAAATGGGCCTAGTTGTGTGAGGGAACTAAAACACACACAGCAGGGTTAAAGGTCACCATCATGCGTAGTGGCAGGAACCTGTTCTCTGGGCTGATTGAGGATCCAGACTGTGGCCTCGCTGGCTGCTTCCATCACTTAGGTGTACTTGACTGGTACTGTTTCACAAGATGTGCTGACTGTTCTGCTTACCCTGTAGGATTGACCTGTGAGTAATTGAACTCCCCCTTCTCTTAAGCCTTACTGGTAGAGTGCGTTCAGATTGTGTTTGAGAATCACTAAAATGATGGAGTAGCTACATCTGCTTCCCCATCAGCTTCAGTTTTATGTTCTTATTAAATGAATGTGAGGCACCACTGCTGTTTCTTCTTTTCCCTTTGCCAAGGCAGTAGGTTTTACTTATGCTCCCACCTTGTTCCAAAAATTACATGACGTGCCCGCTAGAGTAACTTAGAGACGAGCAAGAAAAGAAAAAAGCACCATGTGTGAATGTGTGTGAATGATGAGTCAGGCAGGACATACAATGAACTATAGGTCGTGGTCTGGAATAGGATTTTGATTTTTAGTTTTAAAAAATGTAGCTGATTAGTTTCACTTGCACTCTTAAATTTCTTCTGGAGGAAATTACCAAACGTATTAGGATTATACCTAATATATCTAGATAGGATGCAGTCATTCATTCTGTAGATAAATATAGTCTTCCCTTTGAGCTCTGGGATGGTGGGAGTGAGAAAGTCACACATTAGGAGTTTCTGTACTTGTAAACAACAGGATACAATATGTTAACAGAGGTGTGAGCCAAATACTAAAGGGGAGCAAGAAGTCATTAAATTAAGAAAAATGAGTGTGTTATCTCTTGGAAATAGAGAGTGTTTCCTACTGTCAAATTGTGGAGGAAGAGTAAGGAGGGAGGAATGAAGAGATGAGAGATGGATTGGGGATGAAAATCTATGAGAGAGACTGGAGAGGAGGAACCCAGTCAGGCTTCCTCTCACTGTAATGACATTCATTTTCCAGTTCACACCTCTTTCTGAGGCCAGGGCGCCTACCTCTGTGGAGCTCCCATCGGGTGTCTCAGTAGTAACAAGGTCTTTCTTTTTATTCCCTTGCTCGTGTATTACTGGCCCCTCCTCCCCCTCAGCTTTATTGAGATATGATTGACATAAAACATTTTTGTATCAGTTTAAGGTGTACGGTGTGGAGATCTGAGATGCGCATTGCAAGACATTTACTACAGTAACAGTTAACACAGCTGTTGCCTCACATGATTACCGTTCTGCTGTTGTTATTCATAACCTTCTGCATCTTCAGTCCTTCAGTGCATCTTTCACTCTTTGGCAGATCCTTTGTCGGGACTCTGAGAACACTCTTGGTCTGTTGATGCTTTCTCTATTCTGATATACTAGTTTTGGTTTCAGAGTTCTAATTTTAAAAAAATCATCCAGTCCTGTTCCTGACTTGGTTCTTGTGTTCCCAGGTTTCTTCAGCTGTAACTTTGTAAGTGGTTTCAGACGGTTAAGGTACTACATTATTGTTATTCAGTCACCTAGTTGTGTTTGACTCTTTTGCGACCCCAGGCTCCTCTGTCCATAGGATTTTCCCGGAAAGAATACTGGAGCGGGTTACCATTTCCTTCTCCAGGAGATCTTCCCGGCTCACAGATCAAACCTGTGTATCCTGCGTTGACAGGCGTACTCTTTACCGCTGAGCCCCCAGGGAAGCCCCCAGTGTACCCGTTGTGTGTTGATGTTTTTTCCCCTTGAGTGTTCTCTCAGGAGGGCAACCTGATTTTTAAGTTCTGATTGTCCCTTACTCTTATGTTTTGCATCTTTTAGTTTTTTGCTTTTTGTTTTGGTTTGCTCTCCCCCTTTCTCTCCACTCCCTGGTTCTTGCAGATCCTTTTAACATGTAGTCCTTTCATCTATGGCTTGCAAATCTTGTGAAAGCTGTCTTTCATTAATGAAGAACAACCACCCCTAAATAACTTGCCCTAAATCCCCTTACTAGAAAGTGGCAGAGCTGGAATTCAGTCTTAGGTTTAGCTGCCTCCAAAGCCCACGCTCTTTTTTCCTACTTTGGTGCTGCCCACTTGTCCTCATTCATGTATTTGTTGACTGATTTATACAGAACTTGATCTCAACAGCATGTTAGAGCTAATGATTGTATTTATATTCCCAGGAGGAGAAGAATATGGCATTCCTCCTTTATATGTGGTTTCCTTATCAGTGGTTTCGTTTCCCATGGTTTCAGTTGCTAAAAGTCAACCATATCCAAAAAAACTAAGTGAAAAGTTGCAGAGACAGTTGATAAGCTGTAACTTGCCTGCGGTTCTGAGTGGTGTGATGGAACCTCGCCGTGTCCTGCCTGGAGCGTGAATCCTTTTTCTCTGGCACGTCCGTGCTCTGTTTGCTGCCCACCCCCCTGTCACTTAGCTGCCGCCTGGGCCATGGTGTTGAAGTGCTTCTGTTCAGGTAGCCTTTATTTCACTTAGAAATGGCCCCAAAGCAGGAGAGTAGTGATGCTGACAGCTTGGATAGCCTGGGGCTGATTTATGAATTAAACGTTATCCTAAGTATGTATGTACGGGAAAACACAGCGTGTACGGAGTTCAGTACTACCCATGCTTACAGGCATCCCCCGGGGTCTTGGATCACGTCCCCTGTGGACAAGGGGACGACTGTAACCACCCAGGTTGCTTTGGGTTTTGCACTCGGTTAATTCCGTGGCTTCGGTTTCTCATTTGCTGTCAGCTCGTCTGGACACGCGGCTCCACATCCGTGCTCTGTCTTTGATTGGAAGGAGCAGTGATGGGTGGGCCCAGCAGGGGTCTTCTGTGAACGGTAGCAGAGACAGTGCTGTCGGAGAGCGTGCCTCGTGCGTACATGACTGTGTGCATGCGGGCGGTCAGGCTGAAATCAGGCTCGCCTGGAACTGAAGGAGGAACCAGAAGTAGTCTTGCTTTTATACACCTCCGCTTGAAAGCTGCGCTCAGGAGTGCTGGAAAGTAGCACATACTTAATTGTAGATTTCCTTTCTCCCTCTGAGAACTCTGGTAGCATTCTTCTGAGAAAGAGAGTATCATCTTTTGATTACAGAAGCACCATATTCAAGTAACAGTCAGTATAAAATTGTAAAAAGCAAAAGGTCCTCTCCACCCTGAAATTCTACTCTTCAGAGGTAATTTGGTATTATTATTAATTTGGTATTTTTTCTCCCAAATCCCTTTTCTTTTTCTTATTCTTACACCCATCTGAGAGTATGCAGGTTGATTTTTATGTGCATATATTTTAAAAATTGCTTTATTGAGATGTAGTTTATAGACCACAGAGTGTGCAGGTCACTGGGTGTTTGTATATTTGCAGATAGGTGCGACCATTACCACAGCAAAGTTTAGAACATCTGTGCACATGTTTTTAAAAAATAATTTTAATAAAATTAAAAAACATTTGGTTACATACTAATTCTAATAAAAATACATACTAGAATTTTTAACCTGCATCTTGTTTTTAAATTTAGTCACATATGGCCATCTTTGCCTCAGTATATGAAACTGTTTAAAAAGTTGTGTTGTATTTTATCACTTCTTATCCTTTTGTTGGGCAGTTAGGTTGTTTTCTGAATTTTTGATGTATAATAAGACATTGAACATCCTTGAGCATGGAAATTTTGTGGATCTGCTGTGGGTATTAGGAGTGTGGATTTTGGAACTGAATGGTGGTATCTTGGTAGTAATGTGTGTTTATATAGGCCTTCGGATAGTAAAGTAAGTAGATAAGCATTATCTTTTTTATATTTGTACCGGGACCTATTCAGGCGCTGTTAGTTCCGTCTCAGGTCTTCAGAGGGGTTAGCTGAGTGAACTAAGTTGTTCTCAACGTCAGGGCCAGGACTGGACCCCAGGTCTTCCCTCTGGATGCGTGGAGTGTGGCAAGCTGCCCAAGTAAGTGACTCATCCAGGGTTAGATATTTAACAGGAATGGTGCTCCTCATTGCCTTTTAGACCTTATGGCTTTCAGTCTTATCCTTGGAAAGGGACCATTCTCCATATTCTCGAATATTCTCTAGGGAAGAATCTGATTTTGTTACTCTCTGGCTCAGTGTGCTTTATCGGTCCATCCATCACTGGTTAGGTCAGAATTTTAGAGCACTCTCTAAAGATGATGGGTCTCTAGAGAGAAGGGGACTGCAGTCAGCTGAGTTCAGCAGGGAATGTCAACCAGGCCTCTTCGCGTGCTTCCCATGGGCCACAGCCTTCCTCCATTTGCTGCGCAGGCTTGTGGCCCTTGCCAGTCCACTCTGCTCATCTCCCCTTATCCTCAAAGGCCTCGTGGGTCAGGCTGATGACTTGGTTACTGCTTATCTGCCTGCATGTTTACTGCTGCCTGTTGGTTCCACATGTGCTGCCAACACCAGCCCACCTTCGCCCCTGCCCCCACACCTGCCTGTCTCCCTTCCAAGCCACAACTGAATCTTTATTTCCTGGCCACACTGCGTGGGGTGCAGGATCTCAGTTCCCTGACCTGTGATGAAAGCCATGCCCCCTGCAGTGGAAGCGCAGAGTCCAATCGGCAGGAAATTCTCTCACAGTATTCCTTACAATCTGTTTTGTTTTTGTGGCATCCGTAATGTCCCTCTTTCAAACAATTTCTGATTGTTGTTTTTTTTTTGTTTGTGAGATCTTAGTTCCCCAACCAGGGATGGGACCCGTGCCCCCTGCATTGGGAGCGTGGAGTCTTAACCACTGACCCTCCAGAGAAGTCCATTGATTGTTGTTTTTTGAATCTTTTATTTTTTTCTTAGTTAGCCACAGAGTTTATCACTTTTCTTGATCTGTTCAAAAACCGGTTCTTAGTTTTGTTGATTATTTTTCCCTGTTGCTTTTCTAGTTTCTGTCCCTGCTTTTAATCTTTATTATTTCCTTTCTTTTGTTAGCTCTGTGTTTATTCTTTTTTTTTTTTTTTTTAGTTCTTTGAGGTCTAAAGTTAGGTTGTTATCTTCAGGTCTTTTTAAGTATACGAGTTTGTAGCTGTAAACTTTGCTGTCAGCATTGCTTGTGTTGTAGCCCATAGGTTTTGGTGTGTTATATTTCATTTGTTTCAAGGTCCTCTCTAATTTTCCTTGCAACTTCTCATTTGATCCATCAGTTGTTTAAGAGTGTTTAATTTCCATGTATTTGAATTCTCCTTCGGCTGTCACTTTCTAGTTTCATTCCTTTGTAATCTGTACAATTACACAAAAGGTACTGTGTGTCATTTCAGCACTTCAAAGTCTTCTGAGAGTTGCTTTGTGTCCTTACGTGTGCTGTATTCTGGAGGATGCTCCGTCTGCATGTGAGAAGAGTATATGTCCTTCTGTTGTTGGTGGAGTGTTCTGTACATAATGCCTGTTAGATGCCTTTGCTCTGTAGTGTTGTTCACGCTCTCTGTTTCCTTACTGATCTTCTTTCTCATTATTCATGTATTTAAAGCCTCTTTGACTGATATCAGTATAGTCATCCTTACTCCCTTTGGATTACCATTTGCACAGATTTTTCCTTTTTTTCATCTCCTCACTTTCAGCCTGTGTGTAGCCTTAGATCCAAAGTGGGTTTCTCATACATAGCATATTGTCTGATGCTGTTTTTTTTTTTAATCCATTCAATCTGTGTCTTTTGATTAGGAGTAAATCAGTTACATTAAAAGTGATTACTTATATAGAAGCACTTACGTTGCCGTTTTTATTTTCTGTATGTCTTGTAGCTTTTGGTCCCTCTTTTCCAGTCTTAACTACCTTTGCCTTTCATGAAGGTCTCCTCTTCATCTTTTAAGGCACAACCAGAGCGTCTCTTGGCGACTTTCTCGGGCTCAGTTCAGGCCCTGTTCTTGTGCTTCAGTTTGTCTCTGCGACTCCCTTCCTTCCTAGGTAGCAGCTCCCTCCCGGGAGGCGTCTTCTTGGTTTTGTACCTCCAGGACTTAACACAAGGTGTCTGAAACAGTGTCTGACTCATAGTGAGACATCAGTAAATGCTTGTTGAAAATGTGTGTATTTTCAGTAGTAAACACTTGTGATGAGTTCTTGTGGTTTTTGTTTCCTGTTAGTCAGATATCTCAGGCTGCAATTCTGGTTCCTGAACTCAAGCGGAATACAATCTTAGGACTAGGTGGCTTTAAGCATTCATCTCTTTTGGCTTGTAAACTCTTGAGAGTTACCATTACACTCTGTTGTTTTATTCCATTAAAAATGTGTGTGTGTGTGTGTGTGTGTGTATATATATACATACATACACATATATGCTATAATACTCTTACCAACCAATGAAAACTCTTTTTCTTTCTGAAGGTTTGCCCTGAGGTATTTCAAGGACACATCTCCAGTCTTTCAGAGGCTCTTCCTAGAGACTTCAGATGCAAACCCAGTCCGGTACGGGCGCAGGCGGATGAAGCTTCGGGACCTCATGGAGGCAGCTTACAAGTTTCTGCAGCAGGAGCAGTCTGTGTTCCGGGACCTCTGGGACTGGAGCGTATGTGTCCCACTCCTCAGGAGCCACGACACCCTGGTCCGCTGGTGCGTAGCTGGTGGCCTGTTCCTGTCCTTCTAGTGTGGGGACTGTAGCAGGACCCTGGAGTTGTGTGCGTGAGGAGGAAAAGGAAACCATTGAAAATACGTTGTTTTTGTTCTGCTGCCTTTGGGGTTCTTACTCCCTTTCATGTGTCATTTCAGAGGGAAATAAGATGATGTGAGTGGGATTCCATTGTTCTTATGTTCCATCAAGTGAATTCACTGTGCCCTATTTGTGATTTCTGCCCTTCCCTGTGTTAAACTCCATAAGATTTCCTTTTTGGGTGTTCAGCGGGCTAGTAAATTTTCTTTAATTCTTTAGCCTCCACTGCAGATCCTGAGTTTATATACTTTGGTTTTCTCCAGGTACACGGCCAATTGTCTTGCTTTGGTCACCTGTATGAATGAGGAGCACAAGTTATCATTCCTGAAGAAGATTTTTAATAGTGAAGAACTGATTCACTTCAGGTTAAGGTAAGCAGGAGCCTTCCTGGAGATGTCAGCGTGGCGTTCCTGGGCATTCGAGCCGTTGACGAGCTCCTCATCCCCTCAGGTTACTCGAGGAGGCCCAGCTGCAGGACTTGGAGAAGGCCTTGGTGTTGGCCAACCCAGGCGCGCCCCTTTGGCGGAAGGACAAGGAGCAACAGTACCCCACAGGGCACCTTGTGTCGGCAGATCTCTGCTCCAGGGTCACCGCTGTCTGCGGGGTGGTATTGCCTAGGCAGCCGCCTGCCGCCGAAGAGCAGGTACGTTGGCCTCAGTGGTAGGTGTGCCGTCTTCCATCTGAACACCGCGTGTGTATTTTTCTGTGGCTGGGCTTTGTGATTTATGTGTGAGCAAAATTGAGTTTGCCCAATTGCTGTCCCCTTAGAGAGGTATTCGGGGAGAGTAGAGAATTCACCCGGGACCCTCCTCTCCGATAGCCCCATTGTCCCTGTTTAGTGTGGAATTAGAAATAATGATGCCTGTGCATCAGGCTCTTAATTTGGGCAAAACTCCTCCATATATGACTTGTTTACTTGCTTTAGCAGCTATTTGAAGTTGGGTGACACACACTGTGATGCCATATTTATATAAAACTAAAGCAGAATGGGGCTTCTCAGGTGGCGCTAGTGGTAAAGAACCCACCTGCCAGTGCATGAGACTCAAGATATGTGGGTTCAGTCCTTGGGTGGGGAAGATTCCCTGGCAATTATGTGGCAACCCACTTCAGTTTTCTTGCTTAGAGAACTCCCATGAACAGGGGAACCTGGTGGGCTATGGTCCATAGGGTGGCAAAGAGTCAGACACCAGTGAAGCTTCTTAGCACAAGGCAGAGTGACTTGCCCAGGGCCCTTGGGCTGCCCTTTGGCAGAGATGGGGCTCTGCCCGGGTATTACTGCCAGCAGCCTCTTCCTGTCAGAGTATTCTCTGCCTGTGGTGTGGGAGGCCTGCATCTGCAGTGAACTTGTCCCCCGCCATAGTAAATGACCTTTCCAAGAAAGTGGCTCCGTGCTACACTTTGGAAAGGCCGCTCTGTTTCCCCAGCAGTCTGTAGTCAGTTCATCAAATATACCTAGTTTTCTCCCTGGAACAAGTCCTGGGTCATTCCGTGATCATCAGTTTGTATCTGGGAAGTACAATGAAAAGGATTAGTATAAAATAGATAGAAAAAAGTGCACATTTTGAGTGTACAGCTGCATGATAATTCATAAACTAGATATATCTGTTGCCCGCACTGAGACAGCAGTATTTCCAAAGCCCGTGGTATTTCCCTGTAGTCAGGAAGACTTCCCCACCCCTCTTTAACCCCTCTCCTAATATAGACAGATCCTAAGTAGACAGAGGATGAGCTGGTTGGGTGGCATCACTGACTCAATTATAGGAGTTTGAGCAGACTCCAGGAAATAGTGAAGGACAGGGAAGCCTGGTGTGCTGCAGTCCATGGGGTCGCAGAATCAGGCCGTGACTTAGTGAGTAAACAGCAAACAACAACAACATAGGTTAGGTTTGGAGCGTGAGCACTTTAACGCTGGGAAGGAGTCAGCTTGGGGCGGGCTGCTGGTGGATGGCAGCGGCAGAGAGCTGGGGCAGAAGTGCAGCCTGGAGCGGCGGCCCAGCCCGCTAGTTGCCGAGAGTCACAGCTCTGCAGAAAGTTCAGCAGCTTCCAGCGCCAAATCTCACTTTGTCCTTACACATCTTTAGGGGACAAGCTCTGTTTGAGACGTTACCATTCCTTAAAAGGTCATAATCGTTGCACTCTTCTAAGAGATGCTTTCTTCTGTGTCAGTAGGTAGATGATGATTAAATTTTTGGAAAGTTGTGGTAAAATGAATGTAACGTTTGCCATCTTTTAACATTTTTAAGTGTACACCTCAGTAGTGTTGAGTGTATTTACACTGTTGCACAAAGAAGCTCCAGAACTTTTCATCTTGTAAAGCTAATATTGGACATCTTCCTAGTGGGGCATAAGTTACAGAGGTATTCCCCATCCCATCCCCTAGAGCCCAATAAAAATAAAAACAACTTTTCAAGGAAAAAAAAAACTAATATTACCGATTAAACATATTGGGTGCGTTATGATTATTATTTTACTTTTTGTTATGGAAGATGTTAAGCATATTTCAAAGTAGAAATAGTAGTATAATGAATTCACATGTAGTTATTCAGCTTCACTAATTATAAATTCACGGTCAGTTATGTTGCATTTATATTTCTGAAGACTCCTCACACTGTATTATTTTGAAGCAACTCCCAGATACCACGTTATTTCTTAATTAAATATTAATTAATTATAATTTATTGTAAGGTACTAAGTATAATATATAGTTATTATTGTAATACAAAAATGTCCTTAATTAAATAGGGCTGCCTTGCTTCATTGCACTCATGGATATTGTGAGGTGTTCTGTTTGTATTGTTTTTACAAACTGAAGGATGTGGCACCTCAGCCTTAAGCGAGTCTGTTGGTCCCGTTTTCCCAACAGCATTTGCTAACTTAATGTTTCTCTGTCACATTTTGGTAATACTTGAAATATTTAAAACTGTTTAGTTACTGTTATATTTGTTATGGTGATCTGTGACTGATGATCTTTGCTACTGTTGCAAAGATTTCAATTCAGTGAAGTCTCAGATGATGGTTAGCATTCTGAGCAATAAAATGTTTTTTAAATGAAGGTATGTATGTTGTTTTTTAGCCATAAAACTATTGCACGCTTAATGGACCAGAGTATAGTGTAAACATAACTTTTATATGCACTAGGAAACTGAAAGTTTTGTGTGATTTGCTTTATTATGATATTTGTTTTATTGCTGTGGTTTGGAATTCAACCTGCAAAATCTTGGAGGTATGCCTGTAGTTTAGTGTGTGTGTGTACTTCTGTTATGCAAACTATATAGTGGACATGTAGCACTGGGAACTCTATTCAGTATTCTCACTAACCGTAATGGAAAAGAGCATAAAAGAATGTATGTATATGTAGTTGGATCACTTTGCTGTTTAGCAGAAGTTAACACAACATTGTTGATGCACTCTACTTCAGTAAAATTAAAAAAAATTAAATCCCTGGTATTGTTTATTGTACCTGGAAAAACATTGAGTGGTTTTATAGCACATCCTATTAGTGTCTTTACTTCCATGATTGTCTTGTAATTGTATTGTGTGCATTCTTAATCTTAGACATGAAATCCTAGAATATGGTAAGAGGAAGAAAAACAAAAATCCAGTCATGACAAATGAGATTTGCTCCCATTCACTATGCATCAACTTTTTTGGTTTCTTAAAATTTGAGAGAGATTTTCTGAAATTTGTAAGTAAGTTCCCACCCCTCTCCCTAGGACGGGAGACAGGAAAGGGGAAAAGCTGGATCCTTACTTTGGCTACAGACTTCTTGCTGTAGATCCTGAACTACTAATTTATTGGCAGAGGTTTGTGTAAAAGTCAGTTGTTGTAGAAATTAACCTGTGCCCTTTGGTGGAAAGACTCTTCTTGATGTGCCTTTTCTTTCTCACTTGTCTCCTCAGGCGAGTGGTAGGAGCTCTTCTCGCGACCAGGAGCTGACCTTTAGGTCTTACGTGCTGGTCGACTCAGCGTGCAGAAATCTTCAGACGCTGGCTATGGCGGTGGCTTCTCAGAACCCTGTGTTATTAGAAGGGCCGATTGGCTGTGGCAAAACTTCCTTAGTTGAACACTTAGCTGCAATGACAGGTAGAAGGAAGCCCCCTCAACTTCTCAAAGTCCAGCTTGGAGATCAGACCGACAGCAAGGTAACTAAGAATGGCAGATTTGTAACACTGTAGGAGTGAGATGGAGCTCGTCTCGGGATGCGGCGCGGCGCCTCAGGCGCGTGGTCTCAGTGCGGACTTCCCCTCCTTTCTGCAGATGCTGCTGGGAGCCTACCGCTGCGCGGATGCCCCAGGGGAGTTTGTGTGGCAGCCCGGGGCCTTGGCGCAGGCCGTCACCGAGGGACGCTGGGTCCTTCTGGAGAATATTGACTATGCCCCCTTGGACGTGGTACGTCACCTCCACAGTAACGCACTAACCTCTTGCCTTCAGATTGTGTTAATAGTGATTCTGGGGCACTACTTAAACAGCACAGGTTATTTCATCAGAGACGGTGTGTTGATTATCCACCTAATCTATTTGAGTTCTTGGATTACTAGGCTGATCTCTTGTTTGATAGAAAATCAGTAAAATTCTGCTTGTCCTGTTGCCTTTAGTAGTCGAATGTGTGATCAGTTTCGCAGTATCTTTTTTCCTCCATTAGTTGAACATATGATCAGCATCACAGCCTCTCTAAGAACAGGCTGGGTGGGAAACATCTCATGCGTGTTATAGGTACACCGAGAACTCTGAAGCCCACTCCCCAGCCGTGGCATCTGCAGCGCAGTGAGCTGAGGACTCAGGAAGGAAGAGATGATGTCATAAGCGCCTGCTTGTCTTTGTTCCATTAAGGGAGATAAACTGGATGTCTATGTCTGACTTTTTAAAAAGATCACTTTTCTATGTGTGTGAAATTTAGCTATGGAGGCAGTCCATGTTTCTTCTGTATTCTGTGAACTATGACATCCCCCCCAACCCCCTACCACCCAATTCCCACCCTAAAATGTATTGCAAAATGAAGAAAATCTTTCTGTGGGCAGATTTTCCCAAGATTGGTTTTAGTTTTCTCTAATGTGAACCCTAAAGCCACCTCTGCATGGACTTTACCCTCTTGGATTAGAGAGAGAGGAGAGAGAAGGAGAGGTGGGAAGGTCTCTGGGTTCAGGGAGACGTGAGGGGAAAGAGAGGCCACAAATGTGTGTGTCTTACAGCACATGCGTGTTTTAGAGTCTGAGGTAATGATGTAATGGGGTTTTTGGCCTAGTGTTACCACTGTGTTCTAAGATTTTAATGCTAAGTTTTATAGGTCTGGAACTTCGTTTTCTTGATAAGCCCAGAGCCAGGGATGACTCCTACCAAGGAGACTTGAAAATGAAGCTGAATTATAAATTACAAGGCCAACTTAAAAGTATTTGTTGAGTCTTAGCCCTTTCTACTGTTCTCTTTCCTGGACAAATTTTTTTAGACCTCAGGATACCTGAGAAGTCATTGGGATTATGAATCATAGAATTTGAGCTGAAGAAGTTAGATGAACATGAGGGATTTTCCACTCAGGTCATGATGAAGCTTAGGTGTCTGTCCCTGTCCCGTAGCTAAGTACATTCTTTGATGGCCACATCCAAATTCAAGACCGAACTGTTGCTTTCTGTCTTGTTCTTAATTGTCATTACTTGGGTCGTGTCTAATACATCAGAAAATTCTTTGACTTCCATTTTGTGTTCCATTCCCCTTTTGTTACTACATTTGATTCCAGAGGGTATGTTTGTTCAGTTGATTATGTTTAAACTTATCATTATAGTAAAGTTGTGTTTACTCAAAAATATGCCTTCCCCTTTATTATTTTGTTATTTCCAGAGCTCAGCTAATAGTGAACCCAGTACTATTTCAAGGTAGCTTTTATAGACGTGGTTCAGGATTGTTGCCTTTTGTTTCAAGTTTCGTTGTTACCTTGGCGTTGCCACTCTATTACTTTCCCTTTCTACTCCTAGCCATGAACTAACGACGCTTAATAAAATTATGTTGATATTTTAGAACCCTCTTTCTTGGCTCTTTGTTCTGCCTACTTTGTTTTTCAAAACTTCATCCTTAAACTCCCATCCCCTACATCCATATGTCTAGCCCATACTTTTCTCAGAAAATCTCTATTTAGATTCCTTAGTGGGTGCAGGTTTAGGATGTTCAAAATGAACCTTGTCTGCTGGTTTCCCAGAACAACCTTTCCTGCCACATAAGAGCCAAGCCAGAACTTTGCTGTCCGCTTCCTCTCGTCTCCTGCTCACTGAGACCGATGCTGCTTAGCACTCTTTCCTTCTCTCGTCCTCTGTTCCCTCCTGGCCTGCTGCCTTAGGACGTGACTGCTTGCTTTGTCTCTAATCTGCTTTGCCATCTTGCCTGTGTTACCTGACTGATACGTTTTTTCACTTCTTTCCATCCAGGCTGGCTTTCTTTCAGTTTATCTTCCATATTGTTGTACAGTTCATTTTCTTAAATGTAAAATAAAAGTTTTTTCCTCCTGAATAAAATCCTCTCAACCACTCTCATGAAGAAGTTCAAACTTCTCAGCACAGAAGGGCTTTTACCCTCTTGTCTCTGAAGCCTGGTATTTTTTCACGACTTCACGTGCACATTCTGCCCTAACCATCGCAGAATCTTCTCACGCTGCACGCTTAGGCACGTGTGTTTTTATTCATTTTAATATTTTTGCCTAGAGTGGTCGTGCCATTCCTCTCCCACCAAACTGGACTATTTCCTATTCAACTTTAAGACTCGGTGAATGGCATTCCCTCCGGGGTGGCTTCACTGCCTTGCTTCTGATCCACTCCGCGCTCACCGATAGCCTGTCTCCACGTGGCGAGTTGTTCGTCGCTTGGGGTCACAGCGGTCAGGCTGTGTGGTCGTCTGCCAGCCGCTTGCCATCAGACGCCAGGCCGTAACGCCTCAGTTGCGTCTGGAGTTCTCGTGTCTTGCTTGATTCTGGTCCATAGTAGGCACGCAGTGGATGCTGGACGAGTAAGTTGCTCTGCCAGAGTGTAGCTGACTCCAGTATTCCCACCAGCTTTGACCCCAGTTTATGCTGTGAGAAGTAGGGTTTCCTTAAGTATGGGTTTGTCATTTGGTTAGAGGGCTGGTTTTGTGTTTGTTTTTTTTTTGCTACTTCTGTCTCTGTAGCTTTGTCCCTGGAATTTTGTGATTTAGGTTTCTGTGCTGATCCCTCTCTTGGAGAATGGAGAGCTCTTGATTCCTGGCCGAGGTGACTGTGTGAAGGCGGCTCCTGGATTTCAGTTCTTTGCAACCAGGAGGTATGTCCTATTAACCCTTTTGTTTCCACAGTGGAGCCTCTTGCTCACGAGTCCACATGCTAGAGTGCTGAATACACAAGTCCAGGAATAGAGTTCTCTGGGCCTTTAAACAAGGTTAGTTGGAACAGATCCAACCTTCTCATTCCTGACTGTTTTTCAGGAGATAATTAATTTAGAAAATAAAAGTATTGTTTTTTTCACTTAGAAATAAGTAACCAGTCTTAAAAAACTTGTTTCCATGTTTTCAAACATAAGCAGAAATGACAGTTGTCAGGTAGCCTGTGTCTGAGTCCTGACACTGACTCTTGGTATCTGTGTGTGCCTTGCTTGGCTGATTCTGGTGGGACCAGTAATGCCTGCTTCACAACTTGGAGTAAATTGTAAAGTTTCAGTGAAATGATTTGCGCTAAAGACCTGTCACGTGGTGAGTGTCCAGCCATGATGCTGGTGCTGATGCTAATGAAGCCATGCAGACGTCAAGCAGTTTAAATAAATAAGTTGAAGATAAGCATCAACAAGGGAATAAAACCTAGAGAAACTTACGTATATGTCCGTATCTACATTTTAAAGTAATGTGAAGGCAGTGGCTTATTTCCTACTGCCTGACTACCTGTACATTTCTCCAGGATCTTAAAATGCCCAAGAGGGAAACTGATGCTCCACTGTGTTTAGTGATTATGTTAGTGCTTACTGTACCTCTGTGAACATTCACTCCCAGGTGGAATGCAGAGCTGATCTAACCGTCTTCAAGGAGCACCTTGCTAGACCCTGTTAGTTTTGATAGAACCTGTTTTTATTCACAGTGATAGTGAAGTTCTTTCCTGGAAAGTCCTGAGACATCATACAAGGATGTCACACCAACTGCAGTTCGTTTCTTGGTTTTGCCATATGTAGTCATAGTTGAGTGAGCAAGAGACATTTTTCTTTCTCTTCCTTACGGTTTGCGGTTAGAGGAAAACAAGATCACTGTTCCCTCAGGGCAGCTGTTATGAGGATTAAATTAATGGCTTAACTGTAAGCCTGTGGCTTGCGCAGAATATGTATTCAATGAATATTCCTTCCCTTCTGGGTATTTTAAATAGTTTTAGGTACTATAGCTTTTGGTAAATAAGCAGTGAACTTATTTTTAGTGCTGTGGGTCTTGGTTTGTTTTCTTTCTCCTGAAGTTACATCTTAATGAAAACATGTTTTTGAGATCAAAATGCCTAATAGGACTCTCTGCAGTAATTTGAAAATAATTTGGTGAAAGCCCTGTTACTCTCCCCAGGAAAATAGTCAAAGCTGAGTCAGCGGCAGCATTTCATTGTCATCCTCCCTGTAAGCCTGGCATAATAGTGTCTTGACACCAGAAGGAATTGTGAGTTTTATTCAGATGTGACGCAGTGTATAGCAAGGGATAACCAGGAGCATCATTCAAGATTAAAATTTAGCAATTTTGTGTGACTCTGCTTTTCATTTTGTAATACAGACTCTTGAGCTGTGGAAGAAATTGGTATCGACCACTAAATAGTCATGCTACTCTGCTAGACAAATACTGGACGAGAATTCACCTGGATAATATGGATAAGGCAGAACTGAATGAGGTATGTGATCATTTGAAAATATCACTGCTTCTCTTTACTTTTCATTTATATTAGAAGTTCAGTGTTGTGTTCGTTCCTACTGTACAAAGAAGTGAGTCAGCTCTGTTGTTTAGTTGTGACTCCTGTTCAGCTTTCTGCGGCCCCGTGGACTGTAGCCACTGGTCTCTTCTAGGTCCATGGGACTTTCCAGGCAAGAGTCATGGGGTGGGTTGCCGTTTTCTTTTTCAAGGGGTCTTCCCAATCCAGGGATCAAACCCACGTGGCAGGCAGATTCTTTGCCACTGAGCTGCCAGAGAATTCCTATTTTAAAAGTTTCAGGCTTACATGTGGAGAGGAGAAATAGCCCAGTGAGTCACGAAAATACTCATCACTCTAAATTTAACAGTTAGTGTGCTAACATTTTACTATATTAACATCATCTAGTACTTTTTATTTGCTAATATATTTGAAAGCAAACCTCACAGCACTTCACCCTTAAATACTTTCATGCATCTCTAAGGATATTTCCATATGTAACCACAATATCGTTATTATAGCCAATAAAATGAATAGTTATTCCTCAGTAGCACTTAATTCTCAGATCACATTAGAATTTCCCCTGTTGTCCTCAAAGGATCTTTTTATTTTTACTAAGTTGATTGTAACTAGTATCTTTCGCACTTAACAACTCCATGTGCATTTTCATCTGGACCTTAATGGAAACTGGGATGACTTAATTTAAAGGCTTTATACATTGGTTCACTTTGTAGCATCACTGGTTCTCTGGGATCCCTACGCGGTGTACCTCACTTAGGCTGCCAACCTCTCTCCTCTGCATCTACCTTCTCGCTTGGGCAGCTTTCTGTCTCCCAGCAGAAAGCTTTGGACAGTAGCAAATAAAGTATTGTCAGTGAACATTCAGGCGTGGCAGGGTCACTTGCCTCTTTCTTGGTGTACATTTTTACATAAATAAGTGGCTCCAGAAAACCCTTCCAAATATTTTTTCTATTAATAGCATTGAAGTGTTTATTAACAGGGGTTTTCAGAGGGCGCCAGTTACTGGGTCGCCCTTCATGTGATCTCTCAGAACCCTGGCCTTGCTGGTGTGATTTCTGCATCTCCACGGCCTTGTGAGTTTCGGCCTCACCGGTTCTCAGCCGTGCGCTGTGTGTCTGTGCGGCCTTCTCCCCCTCTCTCACTGCGCGCAGCTGGGAGCTCCTCCAATAACTTGCTCAGCTTTGGTGTCCCCGGCATCCGTTCCTGCCTCACAATTCATGTGTGTGTGGTATTGCTCTGACATAATACCCCTCTTTTTTTTTTGCTGTTGCAGTACTTTAAATGTTTTGTTTTCAGACATTTAAATATTGATAAGCGTATCATGTCAGATTGGTTTATCATGTGATATTCTGTTTACATTTTGACATTTATGGTAATAACAAAAGATATTTTTTGTCTTGACGTAAAAAATGACTAATTGGTTGGAACATATAAATCACTATTCAAAAAAAAAAAATCACTATTCAGAACTTTTTTCCCAAATAACCAAGCCCTGCTAAAGTGTTAAACCTGTTTTTTTCAAGTAAAAATAGCTCTTTTCCCCCACCATGATCATAAGTATACATGTTCATATGATGGAATTACTCCTCAGCATTAAAATAGAATGAACTACTGATACATACAGTAATGTTTGGGTGAATTTCAAAAACATGATGCTGAATAAGAGAAACCAGACTACGTGCTACATCCTGTATGATTGCATGTATATGGGAAATGTGAAAGCAAAACTGTACTGATTGGAATCAGGTTCAAGAATCCAGGGACAGGGGTGGTGGGGAAGGGTGTGATCACAAAAGGGGCACAGGGGGACTTTGTCTTATGGGTGATGGAAGTGTGTATTTTGTTTATGGTAGCCACAGTGCATAAATATGATCAGTTTTGAAAATGTTCTTTCTATACACAGAACATATTTTTTCTCTCTTTGAAAGATCCACATGAGTAGCAAATAAAATGAATTTGTTGATTTTACTGTTCACTTCTATCTTAATTTTTAATACATTTGAAATATTAACATTTTGTAAAATCTTCCAATTTAAAAAAAAGGTAAGAAATTAAAATCTATGAGATCTAAGACTTAAGGTGACACTATTAAAAGATTTTGGTTCTTTATCTTTGTAAATATGTGGACTTTACCTCTTTAATATATATAAAATATGTTGATATTTCATATATTAATGTAAATTGGAATCATGGTATACTTAAGCTAATTTAAATATATATTAGCTAATAATACTTCTAATACATATGTGATATTTTTCTTCTCAAGTAGACTTAACAAATCCATATCATAAATATTGTAATATTATGGCCACCAAGTATTAATACTGCACAAAATTCTTAATAGTTATTGAAGTGAATTGGATTAGATCTTTTGCTTTCTAAATTCTACTGTCTGATAAAAACTACTTTTTATCAGGACTTAACATTAGCTCCTTTTGCTGTGTTTTGCTTTTAAAAAAAAACTTTTGTTTCCTTTCCCACTGAACTGTTTCATTTCTGCTTTTGCTGAGAAATGACAATGACTAGAATTGTCTTTAAAACAACTAGAGTACATAGTACTTGAAATGCATGGGCTTTGGATGCCCATGTTGTTTGAGGCGTCTTTCCCATCAAGCTCCTGTGCCCAAAGCTGTGTGATAGGTCATGAGATTGCTAGGTAACAGTTCTGGGCAGGAAGAAGTCATAGTCTTTGGGGGGTTGGAGGTAATTGGTGAAGGTGAAAGTTCTTACACTTGCTCAAGATGACAGATCTCCTAGAGAAATTCATTTTTGGTGTGCTTTTAAAAATCCCTTTGCTCCATGGCTGATTCATGTTAATGTATGACAAAAACTACTACAATATTGTAAAGTAATTAGCCTCCAACTAATAAAAATAAATGAAAAAAAAAAATCACTTTGCTGCAATTTTTTTTTTTCTTTTTTGCTTTTTTTCTCCTCTGTCAGGTTCTTCAAAATAGATATCCCAGCTTATCAGCAGCAACCGATCACCTGCTTGATATTTACATCCAGCTTATTGGAGAGAAGCATCACTGTCTGAGTGAAAGTTCTGTTGGAGGGGAACAGGCACTCGAGGAGGTTCCAGAAGCAAGACAAGAAAATAAGAGACTAAGCCTTGAGGGAAGAGAATTGTCTCTCAGGTACTGGGCTAAACGCTTTTGGGTTGGTATTTTAAAAATTGCTTCTCTCAGAAGTTCTTAGCAGCTCAAACTGAATGGTTACAAGAAGTCTGATTTTGAAATTAGACGTTCTCAGTCTCTAATCTCTGAGATCTATAGTTACTGAATGGGAAGGCTTATGAAGATAATATGTTAGCTTTAAAAAATTACTTTTTTCTTCTTACAGTTTTATTGAGCTATAACTAACAGCTCTGTATAAGTTTATGGCATATAGGATAATGATTACGTGCATATGAAATGATTACTACAACAAGTTGAGTGAACCTCCATCATCTCACAGATACTAAGTTAAATAGTAAAAAAAAAAATATTTTTCTTGTGATAATGTAACAACTGTTCATGTATAACGTACAGCAGTGTTACTTATCATACTATACATTGCATCCCTAGGAATTATAATTGGAAGTTTAACAAATAACTTTAAAATTTGGCAATAGTGGAAAAAGTTGGAAAACTGCTGACATAGTTTTTTCACTGGATGTCCTTTTGTGACAAATGGGGTCGTAAATAAGATTTTTGGGTTTTGCTATATATAGTAAATTCTGTTCCTTTGAGCTCCATTTGCAGTAGTTGACTTACTCTTTGAGAAGTGAGAATTGGGAATGGGTAGTTCCCCTTAAGTTTGCTCTGAGAGTTAATTGATCCTGTCTTTTGCTACCTTGTCTGGTATGGATGGGGGAGAAAGGAGTTATAGGTTGCTTCCTGGTAGAGGTAAGGAAAGTATCCACTCATACTTTTTCCTGACCTGATACTGTTTATATTCAGTTGCCAGAAAGAGAGAGTCTTTGTGGTCAGACGTTCCCAGACCTAAGTAAACTCTGATACCTTTGATATCTTTGACATCTTTGACCTGTGGTATTTTTTATTTCTTACCTTTTTTTTTGTTTGTTTAAAGGGACCTACTTAATTGGTGTAACAGGATTGCCCACAGCTTTGACAGTCTGTCTTCATCAGCATCCTTAAATATTTTTCAAGAGGTAAGACCGCCTTCCTGCTTGTTTTCTCTGTGCTCCGCCAGGCTGCTCGTTTCCACTGTTATTTTCTGTCTCTTGACTTATTGTCAGAAAGTTTTTCTATGGTGTAGGTACTGTGTATATCCTTAGCTAGTTAAAACTGAACTAAAGTTGTCTTAGAGCTAAGTGAGCATGATAAATGTTTTGTGACTCTTAAAATGGGTCACCCCTAATATCAAATAAGTCTAGTTTGAAATAGAGTAAAACAGATGCTAAAATGAAAGCTTAAATGAAAGGAAAAAATCTCCCAGGTGGTAATACTATTGTAAAACAAAAAGAGTTTCTAAGATGTTTAGTATTAATTTCTGTGTATAATTTCTTAGTCTGTTTGACAGATTTGTATTTGTCTGATCCCACCACTTGCCCTAGCAGGGCCTTTTTAACTTTAGTCCAGAGAAATGTATGTGGGTTATAAAGTCTGTTCTTGTATGCTGGGCTGGGGGGAAAGTGTATTATGCAAGAGGAAAGCGCTGTTGAATTACAGCTCTGCCATCTTCAATAAGAACAGAGAGAGATTGATTTCCACCTGGTTAAGAATCAAAGTGGTACCGCCTGAAGATCTCTGGGCTCTTAAAACATTGACCCGTTTTGACTATAAAGTGTTACTGTGTCTGTCAGCTAGGATTGAGGAAAGGATAGTGACCTGTTTTGGTGAGCAGTATCTCTGGTGAAGTTACTTTAAGTAGAAAGAACCCTGATTCAGAGCACACACTTAATCAAGCCAGACCCTGAAGTAGTATGTGCCAGTCCTTTNCAGGTTCAATCCCTGGGTCGGGAAGATCCCCTGGAGAAGGAGATGGCAGTCCACTCCAGTATTCTTGCCTGGGAAAGCCCATGGACAGAGGAGCCTGCTGGCCTGTAGTCCCTGGGGTCACAGAAGAATTGGACACTACTCAGCGACTAAACAGCAGCGACATTTTATTAATATAGAAGTAAAACTGAGAAAATGCGGCAGAACAGGACGGTAAGAAACACTCTCCATTCAGAGATTCCCCTGTGCCGTTAGGACCTTGGTGTGTCTCCTGTACATCGTGGTCTCTGCGTGTGGAGTTAAGAACTCTCTTACTGTATTAGAGCCGCGCCCCCAGCCCCTCCTGAAAACCCCCCACGACCTTGTTGAGGAGGTCAGGCCAGCTGTTGTACAGAACGTTGCACCTTATGGCTTTATCTGGTGCTTCTTCGCTGTTCTGACACCAACGGGTGTCCTGCGATTCGGTCCAGCCCTGATACTGACTACCCGGGGTCAGTGTAGACCACACAGGTTCACGGACTCAGTCTCCACAAGACCGTTCCGCTCTAGACTCCAGCCGCAAGTACTGGAGGCCCGCCCACACTTAGGACCAGTCAGCTGTAGATTCAGGGGTTCCCACAAACTCCTCAGGTACAGTGATTGTCTCATAGAATTCTTTGGAAGCTCTGTACTCACTGTACAGGTTACAGTTTTATTATTAAAAATATTACTCAGGAGCAGTCAGATGAAAGAGTCACAGAGGGCTAGATTTCAGGGATCTGAGCACAGGCACACCTTTGGAGGCAGGGCGTGCCACCTTCATCATACATCACCAGCCCCTCCACCCTCTCCAAGTGTTGAGGGTGGGAGTGTCGGTGCTCCTGTTCGTGCTTGGTCTTTCTGGCCTGGCCATTTCCTCTGATAAACTAAGTAAGGGCTCATCTGGAGTTACCTTGCTTAGCATAATAAACGCAGTAGGGCCCAGGAGGACTCTAGTGAATAACAGAAGACACTCCTTCCTGGTGATTCAGAATTTTTGAAAGGCTATGTAGGAATTAGGGGCAAACACCAGATAAATTCTTATTACAGCAGAAGACATGTATCTTGGCTTCTCAATAGTGGCTAAGTACTGGGTTAGGTTAATGACAGTATTCCTTTATTGCACACCAAGAATTTCCCTTTACAGCTCAAAAGTAATCTTTTGGTGTTATCTCCACTGTCTGAGGATCATTTTCCCCTACAGAATCATATACCTACCCAGGGAATAATGCTATTTGCTATTTTTGCCTGAATTTTGCATTTGCAAACTCAAGAGCTGTGTGTGTGTTTTCCTAATTAACCAATATTTTGATAATAATATAGCCTTAATGTTTTTGGTGTCCTGTCTCTGTTGTAACATTTTTAAGTCTAGGGTTGGTACCTTATTTGTACTCTCCTTTTAGTCTTTCTTGCAGAAATGTTCCTGCTAGATTTTATATTCCTTCCTTTTGTGGTCTGGACAGCAGTGCTCTGTCATTAATGTATTATTTAAAAAGTCAGTTGCTATCTGCCTTGGTTACTTTAATAGGCCCTGGACTGTTTCACTGCGATGCTTTCTAAGCAGACAAGCAAACTGAAAATGGCAGAAGTCATTGGAAGCAAACTGAACATTTCCAAGAAAAAGGTATGTAGTGCTATTTCTACTTCCCTCTAGAAAGGAAGTTGCGATATTTAGCTTACTTGCTGGTCTCTGGCCCTTAACCTAGAAAAGCTTTTGCAAAGTTGGTAGTTTCATTGCTGCCTCTCATGGACATAAAACTCACTATCTCTTGGATAAGTAGTTCTCATTGTGGGCCACATTCTTAGAGTCAGCTGCCTTGCATTCTTTCTCACACACATGCCTTACTTTCCAGTGTTTAAGGAGGCTGTTATTCTGTAGGTTGTAGATTCAGGACTGGAACTTTGTCTTAGCAAATATTTTAATAAGCCTTTGCATTTCCAAAGCTTCAGTTCAGTTTGGTCGCTTAGTTGTGTCTGACTCTTTGTGACCCCACGGACTGCAGCACGCCAGGCTTCCCTGTCCATTACCAACTCCTGGAGCTTGATCAAACTCATGTCCATCAAGTCAGTGATGCCATCCAATCATCTCATTCTCTGTTGTCCCCTTCTCCTCCCACGTTCAGTCTTTCCAGCGTCAGGGTCTTTTCCAGTGAGTCAGTTCTTTGCATCAGGTGGTCAAAGTTTTGAAGTTTCAGCATCAGCCTCAGTCCTTCCAATGAATATTCAGGACTGATTACCTTTAGGATGGATTTGTTGGATCGCCTTGCTGTTAATGGGACTCTCAAGAGTCTTCTCCAACACCACAGTTCAAAAGCATCATTTCTTTGGGGTTAAGCTTTCTTTATAGTCCAACTCTCACATCCATACATGACTACTGGAAAAACCATAGCCTTGACTAGATGGACCTTTATTGGCAAAGTAATGTCTCTGCTTTTTAATATGCTCTCTAGATTGATAATAGCTTTTCTTCCAAGGAGCAAGCGTTGTTTTAATTTCATGGCTGCAGTCACCATCTGCAGTGATTTTGGAGCCCAAGAAAATAAAGTCTGCCACTATTTCCATTGTTTCCCCATCTATTTGCCATGAAGTGATGGGACTAGATGACATGATCAGTTTTTTGCAGTCTACAGGATTTTCAGTAAATACAGAAAACTAATTCTAAAGTTTATATGAAAGGCAAAGGCATTGAAATAAGGCAATTCTAAAAATAAGAATAAAGTGGGAGTAATCTCACCACTCAATTTTAAGTCTTACAATAAAGTTTTTTGGTCAGGTCTTAGGGAAAAACCCGAACGAAAATTTTGCTCAACCAATCTTTTCTTTTTCCACGTGAGTTAAGGGTTTCCTGATTTTTCATGTACTGAGTTAATTTGGATTGTATTCTGGTCACTTGAACATTATGAAACTGTGCATATTGTTTAAATCCAAAGGAGAGTGTTGATATTTTTCTTTCTACAGGCCATCAGTTAACATGGGTTCAGCCTGTGCGTTTCCACCAACCTTTGGTTGGCTGTGGTTTCAGTGTTCCTTCATCTTCAAAGCCTTCTCAGTGTTACTCAGATCTGTTTCATGTGTGTATCACCCAGTGGCCAGTGCTGGGACCAGGGTGCTGGTCTGTCCTGGGTGGTGTTCTATACCTTGGTTCAGTTCTCAAAGTCCTTACTATGCTGTTTAGCTTTATTTCCACACATGTGTGGTCAAAGTGAGTCCCAGTGGTCATATACTAATTTATGGGATCAGTTTCCTGAGTACTTCCCTCTCAGTGGTCTCCTTTGTAATTTCCAATTCTTTGGAGATAACTCTTATCAATCTTTGGGCCAGAAACTTAAAGACTTTACTTACTTCACATTGCCATGTATTCTGATGACTGTGCCCACTCTGTGGCCAAGAGGAGATAGGATAAAAAGAGAGCAAAAGCATGAAGGGCTCACCTGTTCTGTTGAGATCAAAGCTCCTACAATCAGGGAAGAAGTTTCCCCTTCTAGAGGGTTTTAGGGGTCTGCTGTTCTGGGTGTTGCTGCTGTTGAGGCTAGCAGATTCTTTCTCGTTCCTTGATCCCCAGTCATGGGCTTCTTCTGGGGCTACCCCAGTCCTCATTAATGCCCTTGCCTCTGTTTCTTCTAAGTCCTGGCTGGAGCTACTGGAGAAAAACTTACTAACAGTTCACCAATACTTTGAATTTTGATCTGCTTTCCTAATATACCTGCTACATTTCCGTATCTTCAAAGAGCTCTTCCTTGTATTCAGTCTAAATTTTATGACTGCATTCATATGGCAGAGTCCTAGTGATGAGTGCTTAGTCCTTATTACCTGGAACAAGAACCTTGTTTGGTTTGCTTTTATATTCTGAACATAGGAGTTTGTGCAACTTAGTTTACCTCTCACTGCCTTTCAGAAGTTTTAGAGCAAAATTTGAGCTTCCCTGGTGGCTCAGGTGGTTAAGAATCCGCCTGCAATATAGCAGACACAGGTTCCATCACTGGGTTAGGAAAATCCTCTGGGGAAATGAATGGCTACCCACTCCAGTATTCTTGCCTGGAGAATTCCATGGACAGATGAACCTGGTGGTCTAGAGTCCACGGGGTGACAAAGAGTCAGACATGATTGAGTGACTGACTCTTTTAGCTGACCTATGCCCACATCCCCAGCCCAAGATACTCTGTGGTATTTCAAACCTTTAGCCATTATGTCATATCTCAGAGATTCGAGAAAGGTCTAGGAAATCTAGGTAAACATCATCTCCTAAATGTTAATATTTCTCTGTGCTGCACCCTTGGATCTTGCGTGCATTTCTCTGTGTGTGTGTGTGTGTGTGTTTGTGTTTTATACTCTGTAGAATCTTATGATCTAGCTAAGGTGAAAGGAAGACATTTGTAAAATAAATGTGATTCATTCTTGGAAGATTATTCACAATTTTCTGAATGTAAGATGCTCGTTAATGCTCGTTAATGCCCACAGTATTATTTCTACCTAAAATGCTTTAGCATCCTTTTATAACTGGAAAATTCCTAGTCATTCACAAAAGCCTTTGGAATGTGTTTTTCTCTCTCTCTCAGCCTCTTTAATTGATCTGCTGCAGGCAAAACTGGTTGTTTTTTTACACTTCAAGGACACTTCATTCACATAGGAATATTTTGACATTTGTGGTATGTTGCATTATTGTTTCCAGTTGTCTGCTCCTTCTTCTTAAGAGTGGGTTTCCGTTGTGGCTCAGACAGAATCTGCCTGCAGTGCAGGAGACCTGGATTTGATCCCTGCGTCAGGAAGTTCCCCTGGAGAAGCGCATGGCTACCCATGCCAATATTCTTGCCTGGAGAACTCCATGGACAGAGGAGCCTGGTGGGGTCGCAAAGAGTTGGACTCGACTGAGTGACTAACACTTTCACTTTCGCTCCTCTTAAGAGTATAACGCACCCCCACCCTTGCCATGATGCCAGTAGTCATATTTTCTTATTCCATAGTCAGGATGGGCTATGTGACTTTCCTTGGCTGAGAGAATATAAGTGGACATGTGTCCTTTCCAACAGTAACTTATGCATGCTGTGTGATTTACTTCAGCCTTTTGCTCTCACTGTCTACCATGAGAATGATAGTTCTAGGTGGGGTGGTGGTGGTGCGGGGGGAGGTCACACTTTCAGCCAGCGTCCAGAATGAGAAGATACGTGGAGCAGAGATAAGCAGAGTTCCAGACGACCTGCAGACCAAAGTGAGAAATACATAATTTTTTTAAAAAAAGTAAGCCATTAGGATTTTCAGGTTTATTATTATTATTGTTACAATATCTGACTAAGAGAGTGTCTGAATCTACAGCTGGGCTGGGCAGAGTTTAAAATGGGAGAGGTACTTGTGGAAGGCTGTTGGGGACAAAAGACCAAGGAAGACACTGGGACTACGGATTTCACACACAGGAGTCCCTGGGGCCTCTAGCACTTCCAGCCTGAACCTCCTGGGGCAAATTCAGACCAAATGGACCATGAATGGATTGCCCCAGTCTGAGTATATACTTTGGAACGGCACTGGTTTTCTGATTCTGTTTGAGTCCAGGGGTAGCCCAGTATATAGTTCACAAAGGCATATATATAATTCATACCTCAGTGGGATTCAATCTAGGAATCAGATGGTTTCAATTAATTCCAATACTGATAAACTGGATGACAAGTCACTAATTACTTTTCTCAATCTCATTTTTTTTAATCATCCATAAAAATGAAGAAGCATAAGGGTAGATAAAAGTTAGTTTAGCCACTTTGAAAGTCCCTTTTTAGTCTTCTTTTATTCTTTGATCTTTTGTTTAAACATTTTTACTTTAGTTCTTTGTATGCCTGTGTAATTTAGATGTATCCATAAAAGGGACCAAGTTTCTGCATAAAAATACCATTTCAATTATTTGGGATTTTATTAAAGTAAATAACTGCAGGTTGCATCACTAAACAGGGAAGGGGGCTCAGTTAGTCAGTTGTGTCTGACTCTTTGCAGCTCTTTGGGCTGTAGCCTTCCAGGCTCTGCTGTCCATAGGATTTTTTCAGGTAAGCACACTTGAGTGGGTTGCCATTTCCTCCTCCTGGGGATCTTTGCAATCCAGGGACAGAATCTGTGTCTCCTGCAACTCCTGCTTTGCAGGTGGATTCTTTACCCACCAAGACATCAGGGAAGCCCATCACTAAACAGTACCATCAGCAAAGCAACCATGTCTGATGCCATTTGTGTTGGGAGTATGTAGGCTTTCCTGAGCATCTCAGTATATTTCCTTCTCCCCCATCTCCAACTCTGCTTCAAGCCACTCTCAACTCCCAACCCAATGGCTTCTTTGCCCTGACGCGGTGCTGTGCTGTGTTGTGCTTAATCACTCAGTCATGTCCCACTCTTTGAAACCTCATGGACTGTAGCCCTCTACGTTCTTCTATCCACGGGGATCTCCAGGCAAGAATACTGGAGTGGTTGTCATGCCCTCCTCCAGGGGGTCTTCCCAATGCAGTGATCAAACCCAGGTCTCCCACATGGCAGGTGGGTTTGTTGTTTTTTTTTTTTTTTTACCCATCNTTGGATCTCCTTGCAGTCCAAGGGACTCTCAAGAGTCTTCTCCAACACCACAGTTCAAAAGCAGCAAGTTTTCAGTGCTCAGCTTTCTTCACAGTCCAACTCTCACATCCATACATGACCACTGGAAGAGCGATTACCTAATTCCTAATTTAGAGATGAGACATCAAAACCCAGAGATTTTGACTTACTTAACTCAGCAAAGCTGACTAGTGGGAAGTTTGGGGATAGACATTGGGTCTGTGACTCTCCTCGTCAAAGCTAAAGATTAAAGCTTTAGGAATCTAAGGAAAAATAAACTACATAATAAAATGCAAAATGATCTCTAAATTATACCACGTTAGAAGCAGAAAAGGGATTTGATAGCTCAGCTGCAGTCTCCTTGATTCTTATCCTTTTCTCCCATTAAACATGCCATTTTGGTCAGCCCACTTGGTGACAACCCACTTTTTAAAATTAAATTTATTTTTTTATTGAAGGATATTTGTTTACAGAATTTCGTTGTTTTCTGTCAAGCCTCAATATGAATCAGCCATAGGTATACATATATCCCCCTACTTTTGAAACTCCCTCCCATTTCTCTCCCCATCCTACCCCTCTAGGTTGATACAGAGCCCCTGTTCGAGTTTTCTGAACCATACAGCAAATTCCCATTGGCTATCTATTTTACATATGTAATGTAAGTTTCTGTGTTACTCTTTCTATACACCTCATCCTCTCCTCCCCTCTCTCCATGTCCATAAGTCTGTTCTCTATGTCTTATTCTTCATCGCTGCTCTGTAAATAAATTCTTCAGTACTACTTTTCAAGATTCCATATATGTGCATTAGGATACAATATTTATCTTTCTCTTTCTGACTTACTTCACCCTGTATAATAGGTTCTAGGCTCATCCACCTCATTAGAACTGACTCAAATGCGTTCTGCCTTATGGCTGAGTAACTTCACCCTGTATAATAGGTTCTAGGCTCATCCACCTCATTAGAACTGACTCAAATGCGTTCTGCCTTATGGCTGAGTAATATTCCATTGTGTATATGTACCATTACTTCTTTATCCATTCATCTGTTGATGGACATCTAGGTTGCTTCCATGTTCTAACTATTGTAAATAGCGCTGAAAAGAACAGTGGGATACATGTGTCTTTTTCAACCCTGGTTTCCTCAGGGTATATGCCTAGGAGTGGGATTGCTGGGTCGTATGGTGGTTTTATTCCTAGTTTTTTAAGAAATCTCCCATACCGTCTTCCATAGTGGCTGTATACATTGCTACCAACAGTGCAAGAGTGTTCCCTTTTCTCCACACCCTCTCCAGCATTTATTGTTTGTAGACTTCTTGATGATGGCCATTCTGACTGGTGTGAGGTGATATCTCATTGTAGTTTTGATTTGCATTTCTCTCATAATGAGTGATGTTGAGCATCTTTTCATGTGTTTGTTGGCTATCTTTGTCCTCTTCGGAGTCCTCTGTGTTGTCGTCTTTGGAGAAATGTCTGTTTAGGTCTTTCCCCCACATTTTGACTGAGTTGTTCATTTTTCTGGTATTGAGTTGTATGAGCTGCTTGTATATTTTGGAAATTAATCCATTGTCAGTTGTTTCACTTGCTATTATTTTCTCCCAATCTGAAGGTTGTCTTTCCACCTTGCTTATAGTTTCCTTTACTGTGAAAAAGCTTTTAGGTTTAATCAGGTCCCACTTGTTTACTTTTATTTTTATTTCCATTGCTCTATGAGGTGGGCCATAAAGGATCTTGGTTTGATTTATGTCATCGAGTGTTCTTCCTATGTTTTCCTCCAAGAGTTTTACAGTTTCTGGTCTTACATTTAGGTCTTTACTCCATTTTGAGCTTATCATTGTGTATGGTGTTAGGAGATGTTCTAATTTCATTCTTTTACATGTAGCTGTCCAATTTCCCCAGCACCATTTATTGAAGAGGCTGTCTTTACCCCATTGTGTATTCTTGCCTTCTTTGTCAACAATAAGGTACACATAGGTGCATGGGTTTATTTCTGGGCTTTCTATCTTGCTCCATTGGTCTATATTTCTGTTTTTGTGCCAGTAC